GTATTAATAATGTATGTGAATGCGTCATAATGTAATTTCAGAAGAGAAAACCTAACAATCAATTGATATTCACAAGAGACGTACCTTGACATAACCTTAAATCCGTCGCATTGTCCGTGGGATTGTTTTCACTCATTTTTTACAATTGTTATCCACTAAATTTGAAAATAAAAAATACTACCCTATTAAATTATATGTGTATCAAAACAAACTAAAAAAATATTTATAGAAAAACAATTCGCGATCGCAACGCTCGAGTACGCCCTCTATCGGGAGCCTGTAAATATCAGACATTAATTTATCACGTTTTCATTTAGTTCCATCAAAATCATCGGCCATGACGGACGCCATTTTCTTAGCAGCAAATAAAAATCAAAATTTCCCTAAGGAACAGCTGAAGAACTTGAAAAAACTAACCAGAACATGCCAAACATTGAAGCAGAACACGCCAAGCATTTGAAGAACAATTTCTCAATAATTTTTACCTTTCTATTACCAACAACATAACTTACAATTTCATGATCACTTGCTGTTACAGATGTGTATATTACGGTAAAATAATTTTTTCTGTCTTCAATTCATTACAAATTAAAATGAAGTCAACATTGCTTTCGTCATTCCAATAAAGAAATGTGAATTCAGAACGTCAAGAACTGCAATAGTTATAGAATTCTTCTTTGTTATAGAACAGTATATATTTCTGTATCTATATAATTCGGAAAACAACAATAAAGAATCAACCAAATTACTTGAAATAGTGTCATTTGTGCTGATGATTAATAAATTTTTTATCGTTTTCTTGGTAAGTATTTCTTAGTTTTGAAAGAATAGATAATTTCAACTAGAATTCAGCTGTTCTGTTTTTAAGCTACATATTCAAATTCATATCGAGATCTTACAATTATAAAATTTTGATGTGTGGTATGTTATCTAAAAGTAATAAAGGGATAATCTATGCACACATTATTTGAAAATAAAACTTTCAAACGAAGAACATTTCATTTGGAACTCTACGGATTTATAAAGAAGGTAAGTGTTATGATTTTTATAGTAAAAAATTTGTTTGTAAAACTTTTTTTTCTTATTTGATGATAGTTCTCTACAGAATGGTTTCTTACGTCTGATTAAGAACTATAAGAAAAGAAACTATATGAAAGTTTTTATTTCAATGTAAAGAATTCTTAAAATCGTTTTTTATCCTAAGAATTCTTTATTTTCCGTTTTATAGTTTATAATTTTTTGATAAAAATTGTTGTCAAAATACTTTTTTTGAAAACATAAATGGTATAACATTATGTGTTTATGTATACTTCTTGCATATTCTAATGTTTCAAGTAATATGATTCAGAAAAGTATGAATAAAAATTCGGTACTTATGTATTAACGCCACAGCAGCTACAGATTTGGCTGTTTTTAAGTGCCGCCAATCTACACCTAAAATTTTTGTGACAAATCATAAAACGAAACACTTTATTTAAAATCAAAGTAGTTTATCGGATTTCGGTGGACAATGGGCAAAATATTTCGCTCCAGAAAAAATAAAATTGCATCTTGTTCTATTTTTGGCAAATCCCAAAGACGCATTTTCGTAGCACTAAAAAATGGTAACAAAAATCGAAGAACAAATCATTTTGGAATTCTTCTGATTTATAAAGCAGGTAAGTGTTAATTTTTATAAAATAAAAAATTTTACTTTTAAGTAGTTTTTTTCTTGATGATAGTTTTCTATAGAATGGTTTTCTACGTCCGATTATGAATCAAAAAAGAAAAAACATGAAAGTTGTTTATTTTAATATAAGGAATTTTTAGAAATTTTTTTTTTTTTGTTTTGTATCGTAAGCATTCTTTACTTTACGTTTTTCAGTTTCTAAATAATGATTTTTATTAAAACTTAAAATTTTTTGATAAAATTACTTGTCAAAAAACTTTATTTACAAAATTAAATTACATAAAATTATGAAGCTTATGTATACTTTTTGCTTATTTTAATGTTTGAAGTAATATGATTCTTAAAACTATGGAATGTAAAGTTTAAATAGGCCTTTCAGGTTATATCATTAAATTTAGTAAAACTATTTCTCAGGCATTAGGTTTTAACTCTAATAAGAAGATACATATTTTTTTCTGTTTATTTACAAATATTTTTCAGATGTGTTTTGGATGTTCCTTCTTTAAAAAAAAAAGAGATACCATCTTGTTTTCGGTTGTATAAGAAAGGATATCAAACATTTTTCTTTTTTAAATTTAATAAGCCACATTAAAGAAGGAACGTTACAATGCTACACGCTACATTAAAGACGTCTACAGAGTAACTGAATGACGGTTCATATAGAAATCGCAGGTATGTGTCTCATACAACAACGCCCCCTATAGTTCGTTGCGATCGCGAATACTCTTATGACTTTTATTATTTTTATGCTAGTGAGAACCAAAACAATATGGAAATGAATGAGGGAAAACTGGATCCTACCACGTGAATAAAAATGTAGCGTTAAACGTTTAACGCAATCTTGTTGGAAGTCGCATAATAAGTATAACTTCAATAAATGACATCCAACCAAGCTTTTAAATTACTCTTTTTTTTTAATCCATAGAAATCATGGAATTTTATTTACAAAAGTATAAAGAGTCGATAGGGTGACTTGATCGACTGCCGTCACAAATCATGCTCACACCTAAATAAATAAAGTAAATGATAAACTTTTCAGTGCATCGTTTTTTACAGGTACAATATGTATGAAAGGATTGTAAAAAATCAGTTTAGCTAAACTTTAACAAATTTCAGAATCATTCTAATTTGACACTAATTCTGAATATACCTAGCTTTTTGCTAATTAAAACGAATGTCAAGATTTATATTGCACCAATATTAAACTTACATTTGCTTTAACTTTAAATACGATGATCAAACAAAAGGTTTATACTTACAGTTATAAACAAAATGCTGGATTCTTAAAGAATATTTCAAGAAAAGTCTTAAATATTGAATATATTTAAAATAATCATATGAACTGCATGTCCTGTAAACAAAGCCTTCTTTCTATACTACAAAAGGGTTAGAATGAGAATAGTTTGTTTAAAATTTATATTCATGTGGAAATGAAGCTTGGTAATAGTTCAAATAATGAGACTTGGAAGGATGTATCTTTCAGTAGTTCAAGCGTTTGCTTAATAACTTTATATTACCTTAGACTAGCAAGGCACTTGCATTTTAATGGATGTTATAAAATATACATATTCCTATAGTTTTTTAAGAATTTTGAATGATAATATTAAATAATAAAATTTTTAAATAATGAGAAATCTCTAAAACCATATTTTTTGTTGCTGATAATTAACATAAAATCACATCTTTTGTATAAACAATATGAGGAAATATCTGTAATAATAAAATTGATAGTTTGTTTGGTGTCTTTGTGTGCCTGTCTCTCCTATTAAAGCCCTGGATCGTAGATTAAGTAGCGACACGCCGCCATTTTGGTGACTGCAACTCTCACTGTAGAAATACAGGAGATTCCATTCTTAAATGCCACTTTTTATATATCAATAATTTCATTTTCTTGTAGATAACTTAAATATTTACTATTTTCTCTTTTAGTTCTTTTTCTCTCTCTCTGAAATTGTGTCTTATTTGTATTATATTCAGTGAAAATAATATCTTATCAATATTTTAAAACTTTCTCTTTAAATTTGACTTATTAGAACACCGAAACAACCGGTAATTATTAATTTAAAAATATCAAACGAATAAAGTAAAAAGAAAAGCTGAAATGGAAATAGCGGATCTAGTGCAATAATACTTCACCGTTCAAACTAGTCAACAAAATGGCGACTGTTTACTCATGTGATCGGCGACAGCCAATCAAAATCGAAAGCGGCACAAAGGTTGCTAGGAAAAGAATGACGTTACCTAAATTAGGTAATCTAGGGCATTATCTCCTTTAACTGCCGAACTGTTTGTGCTATAGACAGAAATTTAGACAATATTTCTGCAAGTGACAATTTTTACCTAATTTTAATCGAAACATAAAATTTGTTAAAAACTTGAGTTAACATTAGGCATTGTTATAAATAAAATTTTAGACAAATCTGTTTTTTTTCTTCAAATTTTTAAAAGATGGCATCAGTGATCTAACTTATCGAACTTAAAGCTCTATTTAATCATTAAAGGAGTTAACGTTCTTATCTATACCTTCTTATTTATCGATAAATAAATGTCTGTATGTTGGTCCTTTGCAGATTTCTCAACCATCCGACCGAAAGTGATAAAATTTGACAAACGGATGGTTCGAAGCATGAGAAAAGTCACTGTCGACATTGCTACATTCTACTAAGAGTCGTTAGAGCGGTAAAAATGAGATGGACTTTTCGAATTGTTTAAGTGTTAGCCATCGTTCTAAATTAAGCAATAAACGATTATATTATAGTAAATATTCTAGAGGTAAGATCAGGGATATTTGCTAGCTTATAGCTCTATTTAATAAAATGCGTGTTATTATAACTGTATTTTTAGAATTATTCTCGAAATTGAGATTAGGGACTGCAAATTAATATTTAAGTGAGGAAAAAAAACTTTATCATAATTCAAACTAAACACTGGGGAGTCAAGAGATGAAAACACACTTGATTGATTTATAAATAGTGGGGATTTTGTTTTATTTTTTATCTTTTTTTTATCTTTCCGTTGGCCACTTAGAATATTAATTTTTCAAATTTGCTTTGTCCTTATTCACGTCCAGTAAGTATTGAGAAAGAGTACCGTGTTTTGAGAGTTCAAAAACGTGAAATTCTTCTTTAAGTACTTCAAAAGTACTTAAGACATCGTAAGTACTTTCGAAGCAGATGAAGTTTTTCCATTTTCAAATGAATCTTGTCGCTTAGTGTTATTTGTTTAATGTCTCTTGTTTGTATTAGAACTATTTTATGTGCTTCAGAGACAAGCAAATCAATTTTTAAACATTGATAGGATAAGTTAAGTAATTTTTTGCTTTTATTTTAAGGAAAATCACTGTATGCGCATCAAGATACTTGGAGACTGTTATTACTGCGTATCTGGTCTTCCTGTCTCAAGACCAAGTCATGCGACGAACTGCGTACAAATGGGGCTGAGTATGATTGAAGCAATTCGGTAAGCATAGAATAAAATTTGATTTCGTTTTTAATAATACACCAGAAAGTATATGCGTATAAAAATGCATAAGGCATTTGTTAAGTAGAACTGTTTATCATCAAGTAATAAAATATAACTTTTATTTGATCTTAATAACGTGTACCATACATTCGTTTAAGTTTTAGTTAACGTAAAAAAATAAAGAAGCAAAATATTTTTCTTACAATACTCTTTTTTATTCCAACTAAATTTGAAATGCTTTTAACTGAAATAGATTTTAAAATATGATGCATTTTTTAATAAATTTTTTTATGAATATGAAATGATTAAAGAGTTAGACTAGTGAATTACAATACGGAATATATTTTTCTGCCGCATTATATTTTTTAACAGACATTAAATGCTTTCGTACCGCTGATTTCAAATTTGAAATCGATTTTTCTCTCCAATCCACTGTTTTTCTTTTAAAGATATGCTTAGCTTATTCTTTGTAGAAAAGTGCAAGTTAAAAACATATCAAATGACTTCTGTTATATATAACAGAGGATCACATAAACGTTGCGTCTCACTTCTAGGAGAGTTACGGCACATCATCAGAATAAAAATTGCATAGAAACTCATGTCCGAAACTCTTGTCATACGTCGCCATAGGCGGTTCCCTATTATGAACTGTTTCTTCATGTACTTATCATCAAACATTTCTGGACATGGGTTCATATGTAATTCTAATTCTGAATATGTCCCGTAACTCCTCTTAAAGCATGAGACAATATTTACGTGACTTCTGTTATATAAAATATTTTTAATCGTTTATAATTCGTCAAAACATAGTCTAAAAATGTCATTTGAAAAAGAAAAAAAGCGTCTGCAGCATTAGGAGTAAAATTAATTTCAGATTTGAAATCCCCAAGCCCGAATGAAGCAAGATCAAGTATTTGTGTAAATGCAACGAAATATTTGCTCCCCAGTATGTAAATTTTTATAAATAACTAGATTTTACGAATTAACACTTGTTATAAAGTATTTTTTTTGTATCTAATAGCATAATTTTTTTTGATAAAATAAATCTTATTCAATTAGCATGTAAATGGTATACAAATGTATCATGAGTGATAGAAAATGCGGATCGTCTTGAACAATAATATAGTTAAAATTTGCCTTATGTCATACTGTCATGCAAATTAATCCTTCCTAAACTTTATTATACATTATTATGGTTTAATCGGAAAGAAAACAAGGTTTAGTTTCTAACATTATTAAAGTTAGACCAAATTCGCACCGTGTTATAGTTTAAGGTACCGACATCATTTTTTGTAATCGAACCAATTTAATTTTGTTGTAGTGATAAAAAAATGCATATATAAATAAATAAAAATGTTTTTAAACTGAAAAATAATGTTTTTATTTTATTTGCAAAAAAAAAAAAATTAGAACGTACATGATAATTTAGTAACATAAATTATAACGTATTAAAAGAAAAATTAATTTTCAGGGTGGTGAGAGAAGCAACTGAAGTTAATGTAGATATGCGAATCGGAGTACATACTGGAGATGTTCTCTGCGGAGTTTTGGGTTTGAGAAAATGGCAATTCGATGTTTGGTCAGATGATGTGACTCTTGCTAACCACATGGAATCAGGAGGTGTCCCAGGGTAAGTTTTGTCCAATTCCTTCCAATAGCATTAACTCGCCTCGGCATAACATGCAAACATCATTAAGCTCCTTAGTTTAGCTGATATAAATAACTTATTGCATTTATAACTTTCAATGAAAATGCTCTATTCATTAATCAAAATGAATACGGCAGTGAAACGGGCCGGGATAACCTGGTTGGTAAGGCACTGGGCCGATGTCCAAGTGGTCGTGGGTTCGATCCTTGCCGGCCGAAGACTCCCCATGTAGTAAATGGTGACTGATGCACGTTAAATCTGTCGAGTCGCAAAGTCCTCCATGTTCCCATAACAAATCAATATCTCTGGGGGTACTGAATTGGAGATTGATCGTTCTCTGATTCAGGTCAAAATTACGATCTGTGGATGAATGAATGGGTCCATCCTATAAACGGGTGTAACGTATGGGTGTGGCAGAAGTCGAATTCTTGGTCATAGATGGCGCCGCTGGAAAACAAGAACAATCGCACCCTCTCTACCTGAATGGCATACGTCAACAACAACACGACAGTGAAACATCTCGAGAGCGACTAGTCTCTGTTCCACAGTAAAATGGTATTAAAGGAAGTTGGTCGTTCTTAGGGTTTACCTCCATTGACTTCAAAATGTTATCGAAAGCACATGATTTTTCTCAAAGGTTTTTAATTTTACTCCGTGTCATTTTCTTGGCGGGGAAATACCTCTCGTGTTGACGACATGAAAACGGGATCGTGGAATAAAATTTCAATAAAAATGATCTTTTCTAATATAATTAAATGTAAAAAAAATTTATTAATTATGAACGATAGAACTATTTTAAATAAATAAACAAGTATGCTTCTTGTTAAAGTTTGTATTTAATTTTATATCATAAAAAAGCTTGCTTGAGATGCTTAGTTTATTTCTAAAATATTTTTTTTTTCTAACTTAACTTTTATTTCTAAAAATAAATGATAGATAGATTCATCTTTAGTGCATTCTGACTGCATCATGAGGTTGTAGATCCCCCTCCCTAAAAAGCGCTCTCTAAATAAGAACCTCACACAAATATTTTGAATTTACTTATTAGTATTGTCAAAAATTTTTGTTTTGATATTTTTTCGTGTTTCCTTATTTGACCTTTTCCGCATTTGGTTCGTATGACTGCCCGGTCGCTGGGAGAGGTTTTGATGCTCTCTCATGAAGGTTTTCTTCAACACAAAAAAATTCCGTGTCTCCCGAAAGTGGTCGCAAATAGAAGAAGTCGTTACACAAAGGTGGTCGTTCCTGGTGATTTCACTTTACTTCAGAATGGTTATTTAATAATAAGATCTTCAATATACTCTAAACAAAACTGCATGGAATATTTAAAAAACAAATCAAAAGTTTATTTCCATTGTGAAATATTCATTATAATTAATGAATAGAGCGATATTCTATTGTAAGTCATAAATTTGTGAACACTTTTATAAGCCACAGTATGTTGACGAGAACAGACTTTTTTGGATCACTTAAATAAATTTCGAGTGACGATATACGAGGGTTACTAAAATGCTTAATTTTATTACTGATTATAAAGAACGGAAGCGGCTAGCCTAAGATTCCTTCAAGCAGCAGAAATTGGAGTTTTACCAAAATCAGAATGAAATAATTGAATCATTGCGTAAATTATAATTTAATTTATTCAAGTAATTATAGTTACAAAATCAAATAGCAACGAAAATAATTTAGATTTACATTTAAAAGTTATTAAAAGTAAATTGTTACAAATATAGCTTTTTAGTTGAAATTTCTTATACTTTAAATAATACTTTCAGAGTAAATATGAAAATAACACTAAAAGAATGCGAGCTTAAAGCTTATCTAAAATTCAGTTTTTATTATATTACACAAAAAAATAATAAAGAAAATAAGATACATATTGTTTTCTTGGTTGATCTTAATTCTGATTGAAACCAGTGATCATTTCTTATATAAACATTTTGCCCCAAAAGAAGCTAAACTTACATTTTTTTATATAGATCAGGTCGTTACTTTAAACAGTACTGCATTAAGTCAAGAATTTTATTCTAGCATCTTTGTATTATTATTATTACTATTTAATAAAATAGGAACTCTTTAAGAAAGCGGTTTTGCAATTTGAAGTGAAAAAGTAGACTTAAGAAAAAGAAGTAAATCTTAATCATGTAAGTTTGTTTTATGCTTGTCCCAAAGCAGCTTGGGTTTTACATTTATGCGACAACTGCTTTTGTGTCTTTTTCTAAGAAAAAGTGAAGAAGCATTTTATTGTTGTGCTAAAAAGAGATTTACTCGGGTTTTTAAAAGAGGGCAACAAAGCTTCCGCTTTACAAAGAATGATCGATAGCCTTTATCATCTAGGCTTTCTGTTGTTCCCAAGTTGAAATAAATGACTCAAGTGAATGAAATGATAAAAAATAAAGTTCTTCTAACAAGGTATCCTTTTTTTCGTTAGGATTTCTAAAAGTATTCCTTTTTTTTGCATAAAAAATACAGACTCTCGATGAAAAAAATAAAATTTGTATTTCTTCGTGAAAATAATTTATTTCAATGACAAAAAATTTATTTGGTAGTGTCCCAAAATACAATCTACCTTACTTAACTTTGCCGTTACTTTAAGGATTAATAGGGGGCGCCACTAAAATTTTAATGAAAATAGTTTTCAAGAGAAAATATATATAATTTATATTAAATGAAATAATAAATTTACTAAGAATAAAATGTGAACAATATATAAAAGACTATTAAACTGTTATTAATTTATAAAATGTATATTTATATTAAGTATAATAGTAAATTTTATAAAAATAAAATATAAACAAAGTTGTATGATTGCGTTTTTACGTCAGACTTAATTTCTAGCACATTTAGATTTTTTTTTTTACATCGAGTACAAACAAATTATTGCAAGCTATTTTTCTTTTAGTATGTCGAAACATAACATTCTGCTTTTGGTAACATTGAATGACATATTTATTTAAATCCAAAATGAATTTTAAAACAAAACCGATGGCAACAATTTTAATTAATTTTAAAAAGTATTCTAGGGAAGAAAAGGAATACAGAAAAAAATACGTACAATTTATTCACAGAAAGAATAATTTAATAAATAAATATTTTTATGAGTATATTACCTATGTTTTTAAAATATAATATTTACATGTGTTTATAACATACTTGAGGCAAGATCGAGTTAATTTTTTGTGATAGAAAGGGAATATCGAGTAAAAGGAAATTCGAAGACCCGACACAGAACAATAAAACAACCTTAACACAAAGAAATAGTGAAAAAAAGAAGCTAGACACCAAAATGCAACCTGGCAAGAAGAAGAACATAAAAAGAAAATTCACAAGAACAGAAGCAAGAATTTCACGTATCAGTGAGTCAATCGATAGACTTAAGTAACATCATATAAGCTGTTGTTGGCTCCCACTGTTTGCTTATAGGACTCAAATTGCGAAACAATTTTATTAACAGTTCTTCTGAAAGTTTCTATTCTATTTTTTGAGAAAAATAATCGTGGACTAAAACCTTAGACATAACATTGAATGTATAATTTTTTAAAGATTAATTGTTTAAAAATATTTTTAACATCATATTCTTAGTTTTTTTTATGCGTTTTTATTTACTACATCCTCTAAAAATAACTTGTCTTTGGTTGGGTAAGCTTTTAGGGGTTTCAAAAAGGTATTCTTAAGAAGAAAAAAAAAATTAAAACACTACTATTCATTTAAATTTGGCTTTTGAATTGTTTTTTTTTTTTTTTTCATTCGAGGAGAGAAAAATGTGCACAAATATTTCAAAACCATGAAAGAGTCATTTGAAAGATACTTTTTGAATAAGAAATTATTTGAAACAGGTTTTCTTGAAAACTTAAAATATTTTTCAATATCCGATTCTAAAAGAACTCGAAAACAATTTATAAGTAATTTGAATACTCGAAACCGTTTTAAGAAAAGAATGAAAAAGTAAATAAAAATGCGTCAGAGGCACTACATAATGTAATGTAGAGTGTCAATCATACTCAAATCTACGGTATCAACTATTCGTTTGCTTTAAGTGTTGGAGAAGGGCGCTGGGGCTCGTATAGTCAAGAGAAAATGCAAGAAAAGCACCTTAGTGAGATCTTTGTGGAACGTTCTTACGAATTATCATTCATGAATTCTATCTTCTCAGAAAGAAAAACGAGTTAATTAAGAGTAGAAATAAAATTATCCATAATTTTCTGCTCGTATTAATACATATTCCAACAATTAAAGAATAATCAGGGATGTTTTTGTTAGAAATACTACGCGGGCACCACAAATTTTGAAAATAAACGTGTTACTTGGAACTCTTATCTTTCATACAAACTCTAAATTGGATTTAATTCTAGAATCAGTACATATTCAAATATATTTTCATTTCAAAGCTTTTCATTCCCATACAGCAGCAGAGATCGCAGAAATATACCTTTGTTAAAAAGGCTTCATACTTTTAATTCAACAAACCATCGTTAAGTGAGAAACATTTCGTTTATGCCTGCAAATTTGCAAAACTAATAGACTGATGCTAATTGCCTCGATATCAGAATTTTAACTTCATACATCACTTGATAATTTCCCTTTCATTTATTTGCTCCTTAAATTAGTCTGAAATCTCTTTCATCCAAAATGTTTTCTTCTGGATGCGGCTACTTGTTATTCTAGGCAAGGAGGGCACGTAGAAGAAATGTTTTTCCAAGCCAGCTTTATCCGCATTCATATTCAGCAAGAGATTGGTGCTGGTATTTTTAGTACTACTTATTTATATCTTGGTTTAGTTGTTTCTTTATTACGTAGAAAGAGCGAATGAATTATAATATATGAATTCACATTAATTGAACTTTTTTCTACACACATTACACTGTTTCGCAGTTTGGAGCAATATTGTTGGAATAGTCTAAACAATTAAATTGATTCACTGAAATCATTAAGCTTCGCTTCCACTTTTATATATTTTAGGAAGTTCTTGTTTTTAAACAAATTTATTGCGCCCATTAGAAGAGAACGTTCTTTGACTTGTTTTATTTTTTGCGTATGATTTGCTGAAATTATTTTGAATGCATGTTATGCGGGAAAGGAAAGAATAAAGTATTTTTTTATTAGCTCATAAATTATTTAAATCATTGTTGTTCAAAAATAAATTATGTAATATTTCATATGGTATGAAATATACATAATATACAAGAGAAAGATTTTACTTAAGATTTTCAGTTGTTACAAATTTTAATTTTATTTTCCTTCAAAGGATCGTGAAAAACAAACTTAATGAGAAAATTTAAACGGAATTGCTTTATTAAATTTTTAGAGTGAATTAAGTTGGAGAGTCACATTTGTGAAATAACTTTTTTGCAAGAACTACATTTAAAAACAGTATATTTTAAACTGTATTAAGTAAAACACAACAGAGATTTCTTCAGTAGAAAATGAGCTGTTTTATAAAGGGAATTTATGGAATCCGCAGGAAAAAAAAAGAAATATTAATATTTATATTATTCTCCAAGTTTTCATCTAAATTAAAAACAATTACTGAAATAAATTATGATAAGCCATGCGAAAATTCCGTTTGATAGTGATAAGACTTTGTTTTACTGACAACAACACATAAATGAAGATTTAACAGCTCACATATTTGGTATCAAAACAAAAATTACCCTAAAAGCTGGAATTTATCAATAAAATAATCAAAAACTATAAGAACAATAAAAAAAGATATATGTGTATCTTAAGCTGTATTAGTTATACATGTTACGTCATATTTAAAAGTAGAAGTTTAGTTGTTGTTGGCACCCGTTTCTAGTTAAATTTTTAGCCCGTTCCTTGTGCCATAATCTTAGTATTTCTAAACATTCATTGCTGAAAAATGTAGCAAATCCAGCAGTTTTTTTATTAAAAAAGGAAAATGTTAATATTTGATATTGGATTTAAGCAATACATCTGTTGGGTCACACAGTCCTCCATGTTTCTAAAACAAATTATACCCCTGAGGTACTGGATTGGAGATTGATTGTTCTCTAGTTCAGATCAAAATTACGATCTGTGGATGAATGAATGGATTTATGAATGGGTCCGCTCTATAAACGGGTGTCATACCCAGGTGTCAACAATGACCATATGACCAATGACCACGTATGGGTGTGACAGAAGTTGAATTCTTGGCCATAGATGGCGCCAATGGAAAACAAGTACATTAGTACATTAATGGCATACAACAACAACAGATTTAAACAAAACATCTGACCAAACCCTTTTTTTAAGTCCACTTTCTTGTCCACTAGGTTAACTTTATCGCTTAAATCGTGTTTCCTCTTTCTATTTGTTAGTTTTTGTACCATGTATAAATAAATATCATGCACGTTTGCAAAGTGATTTTAGCTTGTGTAATTTCCTGCGAATTAAAACTTTATAAAATATTTCTGACCTTTTTAATTTTAAATAGTATTAATTTAAAAGTAATAACTTTCTCTCTATACAAAAAAAAGCACGAATTATTACTTTTTATTAAAAGGTTGAAATTATTCTGCGGATATATGCTTTCTACATACGTTTTATATGCTCAAATTTCAAATATTTTTCAATTATTTTAGATGTGTTTTGCACATAATACCATTTTCGGATTTCTATTTTCGTTTTTTTTTACCAAACTCATCCCTCTTTTTTGCGTTAATATAAAACATGATTCTCTTTTTCATTTATGTGAGTTTCAACATAGTGTTATTACAAACGTTTCGAACGTATACATATCTAACTATAGTGTTACCGATTATTATTATTATTCTTGTCTGGAAACTTCACAGTTGTAATCTTTGAGTCTAAAACTTTCCATTCTCTTACTTTCGGGTTCAAAAGTATTTTATTTATCTTTTCTCTTAAACAGATTTTCTGTTAATTACTTTTGTTATACTTCACACATCTACATCAAAAGTTACAGTAGAAAATAATAACAAAAAGTCTGGATCTTGAAACTGAATTTTTCAAAAAGATTTAGCCTTTTGCCATAATTTCAAAAAATGAAGTAATAGTGTTAAAAAAAACAATCGCTTTCTCGGAGTGGTCTGAAAATTCTTGAGATCTTAATTCATGGCAAAATTATGGACAGCTGCAAGCAATAACTAAAAAGGTCAATTGCTTAACAAAAAAATAACCAGATTTGCTCAACGATTCATGTATGGTATGAAAAAATTATCGAAAACTAAAAAGAAAAGAAAAAAAATAACTGTATTGAACCTATACTAAAACGAGTGAAACTGATTTTGAGAGTCAAGTAATAGCATATTAAATATTAATAACGGGAAAAATGTTTTAACATTTCCAATCAACTGTTATTTTGAAATATGATTTTTATTTGTTTAAGGCGATAACTATTATTTTTTCTAACATTTGCAAGTATTTTAACAAATTGCTATAGCTAAATCATTTTAAATAATTACTAGAATTTAAATTAAAAAAATGATAAATGAAAATAAAATTTCTTTCAAAGTTTAAATCACTATAAATCTTGGAAAAATATCTTGCGTTATGACAGCAAAATCATAATTAAAAAACCAATTAAAATGCTAGATTAAATTCACTAAGAACCTGAACGAACTACAGTAAATTAAGTAGACAGAAAGTACCTTCTAATCTTCATAACGCTACATCAATCACTTTAATTTATCAAAGAAAAGTTGACGGCACTTACGAGCGTAGTTGAAAGAGCTATCTCTGCCTAAACCATCATCAAGTTTCACGGAGAACTTACGGAATATATGATTTCATTTTGTTAAAAATTTCGTGTTGTTTTATGCAATAGATAAGTGTATTTCTAAATTTTACAGCCCTTTCTTTCTGAAATGAAAGTAGTTGCAGGGGAACATATTCTTTTAGTTATTTTAGAGAAGAGTGAACTGTAATTTTGCTCAAATTCGTAAGTTTCTCCCTTTGAAGCAGAATTTTCCTTAAACATATTTTTTTATACCTTTTCTCAATATTCTGCATTGATTTTCAAAAGAATTGAACAATATCATATTTAGCATAATGCTTCGTAATGTTATGAAAACAGCATAAAACACTGGTGTCTTTTTTTTTCTGCGTTAAAGGTAAAAATCTTCTAAAGACGGCTCACTTTCAAAAAATATTTTTTTCAAATTTGCATTTATTTAGATCTAAGAGAAACAATTATTTATCACTGAAATTTCTTCGATTTTTTTTGTTCGATAATTTTTCAGATAACTTATAATCTTCTTTAATTTTTTTTCGGTATTCTAACAGCAATTTTTAAATAATAATTGAACTGTTTTTTTATAATTCAAAAAACACCAAAATATATTTTGTATATAAAAGGGGACGCCGGTGTCCTATATGCATCAAAGGTTCAAAATGATGCTAAGTTGAACTTTAATTTCTATTTTTGCATTTTTTTAAACTAGATGGCGCGATACTATGGTTTAACAACCACGTGATTCAATTTAGCTTTTTTATGAAGGTTGTCACAAATAGGTTACAGGTTGCATCTATTTAAACAAATAAGTAACAACCAAAACAAAAATTTCATAGCGCATTTGTAAAGAAAAAATTAAATAAATTGTACACAATGCAAACAAGTTTTAAAATTAAAGTATTTGAAAAACAAATATTTTTAATGTTAATTTTTTTATTACTTTTTGATAAAGTTTGAATATGTATTTACCTATATAGAATAAGGTTTAGAAAGTCTTATTAAAACCGGTATGGAGCAACCAGAATCTTTCTCACCAAGGTTACTTTTTTGCTTCAAGTTGAGTTTGAAAGTTTGAAAGTTTTTTGAGAGTAATTGAAATAAAATTTAAGTGTAATGATCGTTTAGTTACATTTTGGGAAGATTTGAAGTATAGTTAAAATATAAACATGAAATTTTGTGTTATGTGGAAAGAAAATTTTTGGGGACACAAAAAAAAAGTTATTTCTTTTCGATTTCGGTCCTAAAATTCCGTAAATTTCATTTAAGAAAACGAAAAAATATTTAAAAATACTTTTGATTAAAAGCTCCCATTCGGAATAATTTTCAATGTTTACGCTCACGAAAACTTACTACTTTACATAAATCATAAAAAATTTCAAAAAGCAATATATAGGTAGAAAAAACTCTTTAATACTGAGATGCAGATATTTATATTATACTTTGAACTAAGATTATCTAAGCTAGTAGTCTAATTTAAATATTTAACTCAGTATTAAGGGTATCATTAATGCTAAGATCATTAATCATTACTTCAAGTAGTCGGTAATAGAAATAATCACAAGCCTGAGGTATAATTAGATTGAAGCATAATAGGCTGAATTTGAGATGTTGTGGATTGAGTTTCTACAAATTGTAGAACAGGATGAAATTAACATATTTACACTTCAGTTGCTGTTATTACTAGGATAAGCTAACTGATGAACCAAAGATAACAAACTATATATATTTCAATGGTTACAAGTTACTGATATAATAGAATTGTAAGTTTAATGTGTCCTATTTCTTAGGCAAGTTAATTAACAAAGCCTAATGATTACATGTTAAGCTTACTCAGTGTGAGGAGGCTCGAGGATTAGAACTTTGGAAGACTAATTTGACGCACTGTACAAGTTATTACAGTCTCCAATTCATTTCAATTTGTGGTTTGCACTGATTTAAACAGTTTAAAGATTCTTTGTTTCCACATATTGTATTTATCAAGCTCTTGTTTATTCAACTTAAATGAATTTAAAATCAACTCTTTTATTTAAAAGGAAAGTTCACATAACAAAAGCAACTCTTCAGCAATTAGATGGACAATTTGACGCTGAACCTGGAAATGGACATCAAAGGGATCAATATTTAGCTGATCATCAAGTTGAAACCTATCTTATTGTGCCAACCAAAGTAAGAGTTTTACAAATCATATTCTAACACCCTGATTGAAATTAATACTTACAGTTATAAATAATTTAAAAAACCGTAGCAAAGGGAACACATTTAATAACTTTTGGTCTACTAATCGTGTTTCCACATACTAGAACTCATTCATAATGGTTCGAGGATCTAACCTTAAATATGCTAATTAATTTGTGTAGGCAAGTTACAAAATCAGACCCAAAGCACAATATTCTCACATATGTTTTTGTCCGATGGATTTGGGTTCTTGGTTCAAATAGTAGTTGTTATTTAGAAATTTATGAACCCAATAGCGTAAATAGAGAGTAGTTGAAAGATTCAGCTCCTTAAATGTTAAATTTACATTTTGTATATATCTGTATATTCTCAGTATATTTGTCATTGATATTTATTTTATCATCTAACAGGAATTATTATTTATTTACCTCTTCATATAAGAGAAAGATTCGATGTTTGAGTAATTATATTTTTAAAAAAAAATTAAATATTAATTTAAGGACAACAGATTTCAGTTTGGTATCAAGTCAAGACCAATCAAACATAAACACATGTTTTAGATCATCAACCACTTGCAAATGCATTTAAGAAGAAATCACAAGTGATATCCTTTTTATTCTGAAAAGTAATTTTTTTAGTTGCAGTTTTTTCTATCCATCACTAAAATAGAAAGAAAAAATTGAATTCTTTATGTACTTAATTTAATATATTTTTTATTTTATTTCCAATGAGCTTCACAGTTGGTCTTGCCAATGAGCAGACCTAGTGTGTTCTCCAGAGGTGGTATATCTTTCAGGATCACCACAATGGGTGAGATACCATTGGTCATGTTAATTTACGTATAGTTTCTGCCACACTAGATGGCAGCACCGAGACTCTATTTGGATGCTAAAGTGCACTAAGAATTTAATTTTGCCGGAAATGCCAAGAGCCAATAAGGCACTCCAGGGATCTTTTATATGCCGCATAATCATACGACATGGCCGTTGAGGTCTGGGCCGGGATCGAACCCGCAGACTTGGGCTCAGAAGGCCGACGACAAACCAACTGCCCAACCCAGCCACAACTTAAATTAATATACTAAATAATATATGCCGGTTGTTAACTATTACTTGTTATTTTAATCTGTTTTTTTTCCTCCAAAATTTCTATAACAGAAGGTTTGAGTAATCATACCTTAAACGATAGATTTTGACATATGTAACTGTCGAAGACTAAATCGAAAACAGGAACAACGTAAAACAGAGGGTACTTTAAAAAATATTTAGAATACCAAGAAGCAAACAAAAAATCGAATTCTAGAATTGTTTTTGGACTGTCCAGCTTACTGATTCAGACTGGATTATTTTAGCAGTTATAGTTAAAATTTCTAATTTCCTACATGCTTAATTTTAGTTGACCAATCCTACATTAAGTAGGGTAGTTTGAACAGTCTTAAACTCTTGAAAAATCCTTTATAAAAAGGGCCATTCATAATTAAACAAAAGATTAAAATACAATGAGTTAAGAAACATTATAAGCTGTCAAATAATTTCGATTCAAAAACTTTAATATGTTAAAAATTTTTTTCGTTAGAAGCGGGTATAACTTACTTCTTTAATGCTTACTGATTAAAATTAAAAACAGAGAAAAAAATAATTAAAAATGCTCGATATTTTTCAGTTAAATCCCATAAAAATATTATTCAATTAAATTATAAAAAGAAAAAGAGATTATTTAAGAAATTAGAGATTTCACCGAAAAATATTCATTTCATGTTATTTGACTTTTAATTAGTTTACGCTACCCAACAATTTTTCCTGTCTGTTCTGTTTGCCTGTCTCTTGGCATTTTCTTAAGCTTTGTGTTATGAGCCTATAGAATAATTTTCTTTTTCACATAAACAAATGTGTTGGTAGTTTCACCTTTCTTCTTAAAGTACATTCCATTAAAATTCTAATTCAATTTTCATTTATTTTTTGAGAGAAAGTGCATTAAATTCGTCCTAAGTGCATAAAGCTTTATATTTTCTTCTCTTCCTTCCGAAAAGCATTTTATGCACCGAAGAATACAGCGAGAATTTACATCAAGTTGTCTTCTTTTCCCCTGTTCATGCTTTAGAATATATTAAATATTTATTAGTTAGACATAATTGATTAGGTATTATATTTTTCGTACTATTCAAAAATATAAGCAATATTATTTTCATAAACGAATTAAGCAATTTTGTGCAGAGCAATTTCACTTAGTTGATTTATAAGCAATACTAAATTTAATATTTTTATGTTATTATCAATCTTATAGTTAAGATATTAAATAGTATCAAGGAAAATAACTTTTGCTTATATAGGTTACATTCTAAAATGTTAAAAAGGATTGCAGAAACAAAATTATAATTTGATACTTTATATTTACAAAAATTCAATGTTTTTAACATATATNTTCGCTTCATGAGCGTAGTACTGAGAACTGATCATATATCTATTGAAATCATTAGCGTCTAAGGGTATTTGATTTTAAGATATTTGGAATTTAGAACCTTTGTGATGTTTATACGATAGAATAAATATTTTTCAGTAGTTGATTAGTGGAAACAATAAAAGGCATATGTTTTTATTATTTTATTTAACCTATATTATGCAATATTATTATTATTTAATATAATATAATATAATATAATATAATATATATCCATTGGAAAAAAAGGAAGTGAATTGTGATTGCTATGTTGCTTTTGTCACGTTTCTAATTTTTGATAAACTTCAAATTTTCTGAAGCGCGTCCTTCTAGTTGAAGTTATAGAAGTATCCTTTACAATTCGTATTTCAATATTTATAAGGATTCAAAATGATATGTTTTCTTCTGTGTGATATTTTTATTAGAAGCCTGAAAGCCTTGTTCCAATTCTTGGTGAAGTTGATCTGCGTCGTAGTTTTCGAACTAGAATCTCAACGAAAATGAGTAAATATATGGAATGCTGGGGAGCAGACAAACCTTTTGCTAACATATCCGAAACAACTCTTGCCAAGAACATTCGTCTCACGGTAAAGTTTATTTTTAAATTTATTATTTAACTTATCAGATGTAAATTATGATTATTTTTCTAAAAATTTGCGAGTAACTGTAATTTTATTTCGAATCGTTTAAATTTTTATTTTTGTACTATGAAAGACATGTTAAAAAGGCTATCTAAGCAGAATGCTTTATCCTATTCAATATTTACAAAATGATTAGGCATAAAGTTACATATTTTAACTATAAAACTGGTTCATTGACTATGGATTGGTTGAATGTATAGGTATAAAAATGATATATTGAATGTATGTTGGTTGAATGTGTAAGTATAAAACTGGTTTGACGAAAACAGGGTTTTGAACAGTTTTGTTTTTTTAAAAAATGTAATTTTCTGTAACTGGTTGCAATTTTTGTTTTTATATTTTCATACTTAGAAAATGGAATACTCATTTACCCTCTTTCAAATGTTGACCTTCGGCTTGCATAATCTTGTCAATAATGTTTTAAACTTAAAATGTTTTTTTTCCAAGGAAAATGTAAAATAACATTTTCTCTATATTTCAGAGCTTAGCTCTAATTGAGACGAATCTGCTTCCTGGTACAGATTCAGGATTCAGTTGCAGGTAAACATTTTTAACTATACTCCCGGCAAATAAGCTCGCCATTAAGCTGCAATGATCTATCATATATCGTAATCTATAGTATCAGATAATGCTTTTTATCGCTGAATTTGGCGACTTTCAAAATTTTAAATTAATTTATAATTCGCGTACTTAATTATAATATAAATTTTTTTAAATTCGTTTAATATAAATCAGTATTCAGCTTAAGGTTTTTTAGAAAATTTAAGAGTATATTTATAAGTAAGGTTGAGAAATTATTAAATAAAAAAAGTACTATCCGCATCATAACTATCGACTAAGAAAAGTAATAAACACGCAAAAATAACATTCAGTAGTTCTTAGTTTTGAAAAATAAAAAGCCTGAAAAGACCAAAAAATATCTTATGATAAAACTTTGAACCGCATGAGATAAAATTCTTACTCTAGAATGCATACACATCAATCGCACAAATGCCACCTCAACGTCTATAATATTGGATTGTAGGGAAGATAATTTCGTTTTTTTCCTTTAAGGGACTTCATTATATTTTTTCACAGTCAACTTTATGCTTAAGCAGCATAATCATTACATATTTTGACTGTTGATATAACAAGGCTTGCTCGTGAAAAAGTTTAATTTTTTTCATGCATTAATTTTCATTTGATGCTCTTTCAAATATGAAATGTGAAAGGCAAATTTTTTGGCATATTTTGCTTTTCACCATCAGAAAAGAAAAATACTGATGAAGCAAGAAAAAAGTATCCGATGTGTATACAGAAAAAGTATTGGTAGTGCCAAAACTACAAAGTTTTTGGCAGTGCTAAAATTACAAAATTTGAATTCGGAGAAATATCCATCAAGATGCACCACGCCAGTTTATACTGATAAGACACAATAAAGACACCAATTTAAGCAAATCGATGAATAAATAACCCCCGAGATCATTGTGAAATTAAACTTATTAAATTCGATCGATCATGGTCATTTGTAAAAGTTTAAGCTACACATATGGTTTTCTCATGTTCTTACTGGAAGAAATTTATGCCGTCGCGTTGACGTCTGTGATTTGCAACTCAAACGTCAAGAAAATAGTTTGTTTGCAACAATGTTTCGGCTTCTGTAAAGTTGTTTAGATGGTAAAAGCTTTTCTTCAAATAAGGGGGTCAAAAATCACCTGCATCAGTATTTTGCCAGCAAAGGACAAAAATTTTATGCTCGTAGAATCAAGTTACTCCCAGAAAGATGACAGAAGGTATTAGACCAGAATGGACAATATATGATAAAATATTTATTCACTATTAAGAAACACCAGCTTTTCATTTTCATGAAATAAAGAAAAAAATAAAATTCCTTACCGAACAATCCAATACGCAAAAAAATAATAAAATAATCATAATTCGTTTATCGTCTGCTACAAAAGATTTGTAAAAGAGAAAAGTTTAGATATTTAAATTCGTTAAAGTAATTACCGTTAAAGTATTTATGAGTTAGGTCTCAAAATGTGTTGAATTTTTTGTACTTTTCAAATATATAAATTTTTTTACTATAACTTCAGTGCAAAAAAATATAAAGATGTTTACTTAACGAATTAAAGAAAAACGAGGAAGGCTTATAACGAACGTTTTCGAAGCATATGTTTGCCAATAAGAGAGCCAAACTTACTCTTTTTAAAAATTTCCTTATGATACGTAATTTTAAGGATTTACATGTTATTTCTGATTAAATACTTCACAATTGATGCTATTCTTTTCAACAGTATTTTCATTTGTAAGCTGATAACAACAAACAAATTACTACAATGTAACTAACAAAACTAACGATAGAAACTAGATTATTAATTATATTAATATGAACTATTCCATAGTGGCAGAAAATTTTATATCGCTCTATATACGATGCTTAAAAGGTTAGATTTGACGCGAGTTAAATTTTCTATTAAAGTATGCTTTTATATTTTGCTACAAAAAACTTACAATATTAATAAATAAAAAATGTGAAGAAAGTAATAATTTAGCAGTTCAGTTGTTTGAATTTTTAAAATAATTTTTATTGATTTATCAAATTCTTAATTTATTTAAAAATAATTTAAAACGTTCAATTGATAAAAAAAGCATGTTGAGAGATGTTTCATTGAAATAAGAAAATTAACTTTAGAATATTTGAAAAACAATTGGAATCTGTGTGTGTGTGTTTACAAAACATCTCTCTTAATTCAAAGAGACTTGGGGCACTTTGAGAGACTCATTAAGAGACTTGGTAGAATAAATGTAATTTTTAAAAATGCACAGTAATTCATATGCAGGTTTAAATCCAAATACATAAATTTTCATGCACTACTTTTTAATATAAAGTAACATCTCTGAATTTTGTTTTTGAATTTTATTGACATCTTCTTCCTTTAAGTCTTTGCAAAGATTTAGATTTTGAGTAAAATTACTTCTCACTAATTGAAATTAAGTAATGTGTGCATAATTTTTATTTTATTCTGCAATAAATTCTCAAGTTGAATTATTTTTTGATTATTTATTTCAGAAATATGCGCAAACATTTTATAAAGATTAGCAACAAAATTTACAAAAAATACAGAGCGACTCAATCACGTATTTATTTGTTTAAAAAAAGACTGGAAATAATATATTAAGCAATTACTCCTTTAAATGTATTATATAGAGGAAATTCAATTTTAATGATTTCAAACGTGTTTAAATGTATTTTATCTTGTAGTATTTATTTGGTATTTAAAATATTTTAGAATTCAGTTATTAACTACATTCATTATGAAGAACATTCATTTATGTAATGCTGATTCGTGTTGCAAGCTTTTATTTTTAATATTTTTGCAGACAGTGTGAAAAAAGAGAAGATTTGAATCCCATACTCCTGAAATTCTATGATTCTAATTTAGAGACGTCTTTTAGAAATCAGCGTGATTCCAAATTTCTTTACTCCATGGTTTGCGTCTGCGCTGTTTTTCTTTGCAACGCTGGAATTCAACTACTGGTTTTTAGCTTGTAAGTTCAAACTTCATATTTTCATTTTTATCTAGCATTGTCTCAAAAACATAGAACAGATTTTTTTCAAATGCTCAGTAGACTGTTTTCATATTCTTGTATATGCTATATGGCTTTTCTTGATGCCTGTATAAATAAATAGGAATGCTTATTTCTCACACTCAATTACTACTTAAATAATATTTTTAAAACACTTAATTAATTTTTATACATCAATCAAATCATGATAGAATAAAAATATTTTTATATTACATCTACGTTTAATACAACATTTTAATTTACATTTTACATAGAAATAAAAATTTTGTACAAATGATTTTAATTGCCTACAAATATTTGTATTTTGGCAGATCTTTACCCGTTGTAGGCACACTGACTTCAACTCTGGTTGTGCTGGGGACGTTAATGGCTGTTGTATGGATTCAAAGAAATCAGGTACGTTCAGATTCACTTGTTTTTTAAAAGTTATTGATCGAAACTATGCGGAGTGTTCTATAGTCACCACCCTTCGTGTATATTTTTAGAGTGCTTTCAAAAATTAAATGAAAATTTGTACAAAGTAGAGGTTGAAAATTTATAAATTTGAGTAATAAGGAAAGATAAAAGCTTTCGAAATCTCTCGAATATATAGCTATGCTGCTTGATGAACCTTCGAGAGGTCATTTTACTCCTATGTTTACCGGTTTTTATTTTGTCAGTCTCACCTCCCTTACTTGTGTATTTTCTTTTTTTTTTATAAAGATTTGGGAAGCAATTTTTATTCTCGCTTAAATATTAATTTTGACTTCGTTTTTAAAACGGTTTTAATATAGATATTTACTATGGTCAATACGGAACATTCTGTCTACTTGGTATCAAACTTCAACTCACACAACGCTATTGTAACGTAGAGCAATTACGTATCCTCTTAAAAATGTAATTATTTAAATTTTTTTTTGCATAGAAGCCATTTATGTTACTATCATATTGTATTCTTATTTAGTTATGATTTTAAGAAGTAGGTAAAACACTTCCAATACTACTTTGAGGAAGAAGTCAATTATTTAAATTTGTTTAGAAACACGCGGTCTTTATTTATACATAATTTATCAGTATACACATTCGAGAACTATTTTCTGAAAATGTAAGATGGAACTAACCAATGTGAAAGAAACTGAATATTTCACATTGATACTTGTAAAGATGGAATCAGCCTCCACAAATCTTTAATGGCATTTTCTCATAGGAGTGACTTTCAAACACGCAGATCCGATTATTTATTTTCCTAAACATTTATTATTAATGTAATTTTCATCATACTTTAAATTTTTATTGCGCTAATTAGATGATAAATTTAAAATTTTGTAAAAGCCTAAATGTTTGTGAGTATAGAAATCAATGTTTTCAGATGACTTCGCTGAAAAATAGTTCGCTTCTGTTTTTCCACACGAAAAATATTTTTTTACAAAATTTATCTTGAATAAGTGATTTTATATTGAGAAAAGCTTATAAGTTTTATTACAAAGTTTAAAATGATTTTACTTGTCTCAACTTTTTAACCAAGTTACTTGTCTAAAAAAAAAACAATTCAATAAATGATCCATTATTAATATGTAAAATAAACAATTCAATAATAACCGTTGTTGAAAATGAAAAACATTGTTTATGATAGTGTTAAATTTCTTTGAAGTCAGGGTACTTATCTCATAAATGGATGAAGACATGGAAAGTTATAAACCAAAATTGTGTAGCAGGGATTTTTAACCAATTGGTTGTACATAGCTTGCCAAACAGCTCCCTTAAATGAAGTAAAAGTAATAACATCACACAGTTAAAATTATTTTCTCTAATTTCCTTGGAAGCCTGTGTCTCATTGATAATTACACTTTTAACTCAATAAAAGCAAAAGTAAAATTACTTGGAAAAGGTAATAAATTTAAACCAGTGCTCTATGCATGAAATGGCGTTAACATCATTTTACTGAAAAGTTTGTATTGTACAGTAATGTTATATCGAAGAAATATTTTCACTTAAAAATTTATATAATAATTTGGTCATTCATTTCAGCAACCTTCACTTTTCAAATAATTTTTTTCATATATTTTCAAACTTAAATATCTATTTGAATCATTTCTATAGTTTGTACGCTTAACAACATGCATTATAACATATCTAAAATTCATAAAAGCTCATGAGAGATAAGTTACTTGCTATAATAGACGTTAAAATAGTGTTTTTGTTCTTCAAATAAATGCGAAATTAGCATATGTTCGTATAATTCCATCATCGAAAAAAACTGTACGTTTTGATTTAAGCTTATTACCATCAGTTCAATTCAAAATTCAAAATTTAATAAGATAATGCAATAATGCTATTCTTGAGATATTCAAAGAAATTCTGTTGGCCTTTGATATTTTGAGTAGTGACATTCTTGTGATTGCAGCGTAGGAGCAGCAACAGTCATCATTCACACTCTCGAGGTTCTTGTTCGACTGACGTCTCCTCCAATCATGTGCTGAGAGTTATCCTCTTCCTAATCGCCAACACATTCATCTTCGCATCATCCTTCATTAATATGGTGAGTTTCCTGTCTGTCCCTACGTCAGTCAGGGGACATTATTTATCTATTACTTCTTACCTCTCGTAAGGGGAAGAATGAATTTATATATATATATATATATATATACTCGTCAGATCAAAATTAATTTTCAAATTCATCAACTTTTGATAATTCTTACAACAATAAAAAACTATTAAATTATACTTTCTGCCGTATGTCAGACCATTACAACTGATTTTTTTGTACAGGCGTCTGTTAATTTTGTTTTCAGTCTACATCCCCTTATTAATAAAACACAAGGTGATCAGTTTTTTTTAAAATTCTTATAATTTCCCGTAGCTGTAACATCTGTTGGCAGAGTTTAGTAACTTACTCTCTAATTTGATGTGAACATATTTGTAGTTCCCTAAGCAGAGTACAGCAAGTTTTGAATTTATATTTCCTTCCATCAGCATCATCATTGGCATGACAGTCCGAGGTGAGCCTTAGCTTTTTTAACGCCTTTCTCCGTATCTTTCTCCTTGCTGAGAGAGAAGTCAGTTCATTGCCAATTTTTTTTTTAAATCCACGTAAATGGAGCATCCACGCAACATCTCCTTCCCTTAAGAGATTTTTTGAATCATCGGAAATTTTTTTTTGGATACTCGATTTAATTGTGATTCAATCAAAAAGCTTTTTTTAATGTAATTTTTATGTTTTCTTTATCATTATGGTTCAAAGTGTACATTTGTTACATTTTGAGAAATATGCATAAAATATGTCAAAATATTCACTATACTTATAAAATGCAAAAAAAAAAACAAAAAAAAAATATAACTATTTTTGTGTTTTTTCTAATGTGTTGGAACTATTACATTTTAATAGGTAATGTGTGTCCCAGAAGATAGCGATTTCAGAGTTTCGTTGAACGAGACGCTGAATTTATTTTCCAGGCAAACTCAGGATCTTCCGCCTCACTGCCGGTATGGACAGGTAAATTAATATTTGAGATTCCATTTGAAAATTCTTTCATAAACACCATTAATGCTTCGGTATGTTTATCTTTCCTCCTACTTCAACTTCTAATAGCGTTGTACATTTCTATTTATTTGAAGTGCTAATGCCTTCCTTATAAGTCAAAACTGACACATTTCGGAAAATTTTAAAAGTGTATTGAACATTCATTTTATTTTATTCAAGATCTGGATTTATCAAGACGTCTCAAAACTTTAACTGCTAGTTAAAAATAAGAAAATTAAGCTGAATTAATATATTTAATTTTTCTATAGTTACGTAAATTTAATTTAATTTAATAATAATTCGATTAAATTGAATACAATTAACTAATAATCATATATAGTTTTGTAAATTTAATTATAAATGAATATGGAAATTTTTACCCCGAGACAAGCTAAAGTAAAAAAATTTCTATGATTTCACTATGGTTTTATTAACTCCCTGTTGATTCTGGACTGCGGGTATTTTGCAATCTAAATTTAAACAACTTTCCGGTTACTTAATATTTCATAAAATCGTCGGAAGTATACTTCCTACCAAATTCGTTATTTTTAACGATCGATAGGATGCTATCAATCAATAGGATCCCACATACGATCAATGGGATCCCACACCATGATAGGTTTGTGTGACCATCTGCTGATAACTTCAGGAAAAAAAAAACAATGAAAGGCTTTGTTTACATAAATGTGGGCAACAATAACGACTTTCGTGAGGTCAAGAAGAGATTAGGAGGTATTTCCTCTTGTTTGAAGAGCGTTTGTTTATTTAATCATTTCTCATCGAGTTTGTTTGTGCACTGTTAAAAATTCCGAGCCACGTGTCGCCAAAATCGGTATTCATTTGCTGGCTACACAAAATGGAGATCACTTTTGCCATCTTTTGGTATTTTCACTAGCTCCAAATATCAGTTGATGGTTGCACCAAAAGTAGGTGTTTTTAAGAAACAAAACACCGAATTTTATTCTTTCTTTTTTTCTTTTATAAAAGTTGAGGAAAGTTGCACCATTTTTAAAGCGTATTTTTAAAGCGTTCAAATGCAAGCCAAGGTTGCTCTTTACCGCAGCAAAACTATTTACCGGAATGAGGTTATTTCATGACATATCTCTAACCATTTTATACAGCCAACCAAATTTAAAAATTTAGCATGAAAGAAATGAACTCTAATTAATGCAAATAAAACATTTACCTACCTATATGAGTTGATACGTGAAACAGCATGAAATAGTCATTCCGAAACACCGAGGTGGAGTTGTAAAGAAACCATGGCGTCGTAAATAAATATGTTTACTATAACCGTCAAAGTTTTATATCTTTTACCAAATTTTGGTGCAATCAGTTGCACCATGGAAGTATTTCTCGATCCTACTTTGCAATTTATGGTGTACCTAAAATAAAATGATCTTCTATTTAACTAAACTTTGAGATAATGAGAAATTTTGCACCAAATACCGGTTAAAGATGTATTGAGTTTTTTTACAGTGTAGTTATAAACACAGAATTTATAAATTTGGTTATTTATAAGCACAACAGTTCAAGTTTGTTTTTAATTCTGTACAAAAGGCAAAATTTAGAACATCACCAAACTTCCCATAGAAAATTATCTTAAAAATCAAATTAGTTATAGGTATTGAAGTAAACAAATTTAATTTCATGAACCAATCACAATCCTTAAAGTATTTTAACATAACATTACTAGAAAGAAAAATAGTTACGTAAAAAGCATTCACATCCCTATTGGAAGACCTAAATCTGATGACAAACAGGTTTCAATAGCTTCCTGAACACTGTTAACAGAATTTATCATCATTTTAACACCTAATACAATTCATTATCATATCAATAAAAAAAAATCCGACTCCAAAAAGGCGCTTAACAATTTGAATGTTTAGCTTATTATACATTTTTATTCACTAGTAACTCACACACTGTGAAACTAATATATCTGTTTCAAGAAAAACTAAAACAAATTATGAAATATTTTTTTTTTCAAAAAAAAGAACAAAAGTTGAAATTTAAATTAATTGAAACGCTTTATAAAACCGTTATTAATATATACATATTGTTTAACTAATACATCGTCTTATTAATTCTTTCCTCTGAAGATTTTATTATTAATTAATGCATTATTACTTTAGTCAATACTTTTTAAATGTAAATTTCAGGCCCACATATTCCCAGCAGTTCTCACTATAACAGCAGTCTCCTTATTTTTGAGGATATCCTACTTGTTGAAGGTTATACTCATGGTGATTGATATCATAGGATTTGGATTAGCATTTACTCTAGTCAGACCAGATCTTTTCGCTGCTAATTTAGAGGACAACGATGGGTACGTTAACACACGCATTTATTTTTCTTAACTCTAAATTAAGAACTCTATAAACATGAAGGTAAATATATTTTTGAAGTATTTTTTACGGTGTAAGTAAAATGACAGACCATTTATAAAATCAATGAAGAAAAGCGATAGAAATGTACGGTTTGCTGCTTTCTTCTCAGGAAAATAGATTTTTTTTCCATGAACGCCCGCATCAAGCTTTACAAGGCCGGCGACTGTTCACAAAAATCCGGATTATTCAATCAATTTAAAACAAATAAATTTTTCTACTTAATTTTTATAAGGATTTAAAAGATATATATTGAAGGTGGTCGCTACGAAACACCATGTATTGTCATCATTATTGTAATAAAAAGTGTAATGGAAGTTATAAACATTGTTCCTTTACATCCTTTTAACTCATAAAAAATTTACTTCTTTTGTTATTATTAAAGATAAGACAATTTTTTTTGCATCACTTAGTTTGAATATTATAAGGAATTGCATCGAATGAGACATTTTTCAGTTATTTTCAAAATTATGATTTAAAATATCAGTCAAAAATTGCAATTCGATTGCATTTCCAAAAAGTTAATGTTATTATTTTCTGCATTTTTTCAATGTGTTTCCTTAACCTTTAAAAATTTTTAAATCGAAACAAACCAACAGAAAAATGTGATTTGTAACTGTATTTAGTGATTAAGAGCTTCGTAATTAAACAGATAATAGTATATTCATACTATGATACCCGTATTAGTAAAAATGTTAACAGCTTAGCAATGTTCAACCAAAGAAATCATCCAAAGGTTTTCTTAAAGTTTCTTTACTTTTATGTCCAATGAGAAACGCTGGTAGTCTTAGCTGTAACATGGTTTTTAATATTAAATGTTACGGGTCATGTACAGTTAGCATACATTCTGAAAACATATCGCAACGTTATGATACTGATTGCGTGAAACAGATATATTACACTGTTACATTTTTTAAAACACACAAGAAATCATTTTACTAATTATAATTACACTGTAAAATTTTTTAGATCAAATTACGGTAAAAGTTACCTGCACGCAGACTACCAGTACTTTTTACTGTAAAATCCATTTTTACAGGAACTTGTAACATAATATAAAATCTGATATACCGTAATTTTTACAATAATTACCATAAAATAACTCAATCACTACTTTAAATAAATAAATACTAGTGGGCTGCACCCCCTGATCGCTAACGCTCGCCAACTCACGAAAATTGCTACGTCATCTTATATGGTTTGCTTCGCAAACCAAGCTCGTTTCGCTCGCTACTAACTTAGGTACATTGCAAATGCACAAAATTCTAAGAATTCAAAACAATCATTCAAATCCATGTTATTTCGTTAATATAAAAACTTTTTTTTAAAAAAAAAATTAAATCTTTCTAGTAAATACTAAGTCATTAAAATAAATTTGAATTCAAATAAATGATATGTAGTTCGTGAAACCTATTAGAAATGTGCTATAGTATAATTTATGATATAAATCAAAAATCGTCAAATAAATTCGTAATATATAAATTCGTGAAAAGAAGCGCTTTCAACAAAATACTAAAATAGAGATCTATCGACAAAGACTACTCACTTCTGCCTAGCTTAATAGATTGCCGAAGCTGATGCTCTCTGGTTATTTCAGTTTCCGTTTTTAAAAGAGCTATATGTTGAGCCACCTCTGCTAGATTTGGCATGTGACATTTTTAACGGCAATCATTGGTCGATTTTCTAGCGTTGCCATTCGGGGAGTTGTAATGACGCTTTTTTTGTCGCCGTGTAAGAGAAATAGTAACGCAAACAAAACAAAGCAAACGTTGCCACCGGAAAGAAATACAGCCAAAATTTGGGAGCCACGTAAGAGAATTATATCTATATATATATTTCTCTTACACGGCACCAAAAAAAAGCCTCATTACAACTTCCCGAATGGCAACGTTAAAAAATTGACCAATGATTGCTGCTAAAAATGTCACATGGCAAATGTCACATGAGGTGGCTCAACATATAGCGCTTTTAAAAACGGAAACAATAACCAGAGTGAGCATTATCAGGTTGTTCAATTCAGATTCATGCCCTAAAAACATGATAATATTTAATTTAAACTCAATTAGGAATTAATTAATTAATTGAAGTGAGAATGCTTTAAAAGGCCGCTGTTGAATTGATATTTTTCTACTGGGAGCTACCTAAACGTCTAAAAAACGTTTAAGTGTTTGTATTGAATGCATTGAATTTTTTTATATTTCGCGTTTATTTATGCATTGAATTTTCACGCTTTAAAATGCAGAATATTAGTGAAGCAATATTTGATAATTTATTTTGCTAATATGTTTCTTATTTAGCTAATGTTTTGATTTTTTCACCATGTACAATCTAAATAGCTAATATACTTTTTTAAAAGCCAATAAGAACATTGGTAGAATTCTTCTACATAAGTACAATACTATGTCTTTGATGATAAAATACTATGTCTTTGATGATAATATATTATGTCTTTGTGCTAGAACATTGTGTTCATTGGCGAGCGAGCGCAGCGAGCCATGGTTCACGGCGTGAACCACATAGGATTGCGTAGCAATTCTCGGGGGTTGGCGAGCGTTAGCGAGCAGGGGGCGGAGCCTCCTAGTATATTAGATTACTGTTAAAATTACGGTACAATAATTTGCGATACAAAAATGGTTTACGGTAAAAATGGTTTTACCGAATCAGGGGTCTGTTTAGAAGAAATTTGGGTCCGTTAACGGACACTTCACAAAATATCTTTTCATAAAAACGGACCCTTCACAAAATATTTTAACCTAAAAATGGACCCTTCACGAAATAATTTATCTTTCAATCGGACCCTTCACAAATTTGTTTTATCTTCATTATTGTTTTGTTAATCGAATAAACCCTTCCGAGGAGGGGGGGGGAGACAGATGTAAACGAACTAAATTTTGTCTTCCGCAGACGCATCTTCCTTTATTCGTCTAAAATGAATATTCTACGTTCAGCAGTGCAGGCTAAATACCAAATATTTATATGTTGCATCGCTAATTTAGTAGCTGCCATTGCTGTTTATTTTTTAAAATTTAATTTTTCCATTATAATTTTACAGTGTTGAGCATAATCTTGTATGTCTTTATAATTTAAAAACTCCTTGAAAGTTTTTTTGCAATAACGAACCCTATTTGCACAAATTCAGAAAAGCGGACCCTGGTTGAAAGAATGTGACTGAACGTTTATTTTATATTCACAAATTACGAGTAATTTTTTCACAATTTTACAAAAACGGACCTTTCACAAAATGTCTGAACAGACCCCTGCCGAATACACCCAAAAAGCCGGAACTTAATACCGAAATTTGATCCTGAATTTTTAACAATATACTATATTTTTTATTATAACTATATTATTTATTATTTTTATTACACTTTTTCTTGCTAATTTTTTTTAAAATTCAATGCTGGCATAACAATAATTTGAACTTACTTAGTGTAGAAAATGAGCAAAAATATTTTAAATGCATTTATATTTAAAAATACACAAATAAATTTTTAAAAAGAATAGCAGAGATTTATAAATAAATAGCTGACGCACAAAGATTTTTTATGCTTTTCGTTCTAGAATTTTAAATGGAGTGAAAGAAAACTTTGACAATTGTGTGCGAAATAATTTGTTTTGGAAGATATTTGAGTTTAATTCTGGATAATTTATTTTCTATTGAGAAAACACTAAAAGATATTTTAAAAAGCAAATTTACTTTAAATTAAGTAAAAAGGCTTATAAAATACGATTTTCTGTCCCTTCTTTTTCTTGAAAAGAAGAGAATAATCAAGGAAATAATTTAGGCATTCAAGTAATTCTATTTAATTGTTTAATGCGTGAAAGTTTGTTAATTGCATGAAAATATCACTCCAGTTAATTAGGTTCTTTATTTTTATACAAAAATGAATTAACTTACAATGATTAAAGTTAAATAAAAACGCAATTTTTTAATTTGAATTACTTTAATGGTTTTTGAAAGGGTGATGAGCTTTTAAGTACTATATAATTGATTTTGATCAAGATTAGAAATTTAAAAGTGAAATAAAAATAAGAGAAAATAAAGTTTCTATGAGTTTAACCATTTTTAAGTTATAATAAAAAATATATAGTTTTTACTAACACTTTAAATTTAGCTTCTAATTTATTCTTTTTCATCGAATTACTAATTGAATTTTTTTTCTTTTATAATTTAAGCTATGCGTCAAGCACTTTCTTATAATAATATAATTGCCCTTTTTGCTTAATGAACAATTAACCAGTCATTAGAAATAGTTAATGAATAATGTCGTAAACATTTAAAAGCTAAAGAAGTTTAAGCGATAAAGAAATTAAGTTCTTTGAGCGTAAATAACTTCTTTTTTTTTTTTTTTNTTTTTTTTTTTTTTTTTTTTTTTTTTTTTTTTTTTTTTTTTTTTTGTAAATGCGTCAATAAAAATCAATATTGAGATTTATGGTACCGCTAGTGTTGCATTATAGGGAGATTACGAAAATATTCCAGTTTTGCTACATATCACTAAATAATACTTAAAATAATAATGAAAATATATATTTTTCTAGACAAGTTATTTACAATTTAACAATTTCAAAAAGTTCAGCCATAGATTAACTTCATGCAATTACAAAACATAGAATTCGTAACAAGTGGATTTTGTAGTTGCAATCCTTAAATCAGTTTCATTTTGGATGTAAATCAAGAACACTCAACAGAGTTATTTCGTACGTATAATATTTGAAATATTATACGTACTGTTTAAAATTAGCTGTTTAAAAAATTCTTTTTAAGACGATCAGGACCTTTTCTTTTAGTTGGATGAAACTTATTTAACTTGAGATTTTAATCGATGAATCTAACTTTATTTTATAAAATTTTTTATAACTTTATAAGATCTATTTTCGTTCTTTAAAAACATTAGAATAAATAAAATATTTAAATATTTCATATAAACATTTAAATTACTGCTGACAAATTTCTTTACGATTTCTGACTATAGGTTTGTAACATAATAAAAGCAGAATTAAGTCTAAGATTTAAAGTTCAGAAAACTTCACGTTAGATATCTAGAACTAAACTTCAATGTCAAAAAAACATTGATCTAGTTGTCGAAATCTGAATTCGAGGAAGGGCGTCAGCTGAATGGTATGAGCAGGAAATTTTAATGATTTTTAAACCACCATTTTGACTGTTAAATATTTATATGTTTATTATTTTAAATGCTATAGCTACCGAATTTCTGAACTGATCGCCTTTAAGGCTCTGTATTTCCTTAATATATATCATAGTCCTTTTCGAAATAAATAAAAAAAGCGAGTATACACTCGTGGGGATCGCAAATTTATATTTAAACAATGAAAAAAATCGAAACTCTTCAGAAATGTGACGAAACACTATTGAGGAAAGCTGGTGTATTGACATCTACACCTGTTTGATTGTTGGTTAAAACTTGAAGATGGCTTCTAAAAATCATTTTTCAATTCCTTTCAGACTCTTTCAGGAATAAAATAGTTTCGATGTTTAGATGCTAACCTATCCTCAATATTCACGCTTAATCACGTTTTTTGTTTTTCTTAGATTAAGGATAAACGTAAAACACCTAGCATAAAACGTTTTTTTTTTTTTTTTTTTTTTTTGAATAAGGATACTAAAAATAAATATGTGAAGGATGCTATCATTGGGTCATTTATGTTACGCAGAGAAATTTATAAATTTTTATATTAGTAGAAATTTATAAAGTAGAGGTAATAGAGTTCTCGGTGCGCAGTCGGTGAAAACGTTACTCCCTCCGCTAGTGAAGATCCAAATGTTCTGAGTTCGATCCTGATAGCCGACTTGACTACCGGTGTGCATACGCAGCAAAGTGCATGCTAAATATGCCGCGGGTGAAAGTCCTCTCGTTGGTTATAGTGTGAAAGTTTAGTGGGAAGTGTACCAGTTCAGGCTCTGCTCATGTCGTCTGATCGAGGTCAAAATTACGTGGCATTCCTGCCATGGCCTTAAAAAAATAGAGCCCTAAAAATGGGGCTAGTGCTTGATGACATGTGTAGAGGTAATGACTATCTACCCATACCGAAACAGAATCCATTACTATCTACGTGCTTATCTATGAAAACTCTCTAGCCCAATTAAGGATACTTTTGGGTATTACCAAAAGATATCAAAAAAGGGGACAACTTACCTTCACCCAGAAACCTGGAACACTTCTTAATATTCCATAAACTTCTATAGAAATTCTAAATAATGGTAGTTGATAGTGTAACATTTAAGTTTTAATTTTATTTACAAACATATGGACACGCAAAATATTCAGGGACACAAACAAACAAGAACAACGTGCTTCCCAATCGGAGTTTTCAATCAGTTCTCTCTCTTGAGCCAGAGTGTCAGTGTGTGTGGGAGGAGCCGGGATGAATCTTGAACACGTGATGATCATGTGCTCACAACTTGAAATTAAGTGATAGGATTAATAAATTTGATAGCAATTCCCAACAGACACCCATCGCTATGTTTGAGTTTCGCGAGCCTATTCATGACAACTGAAACTGGTCATTGAAGGCAGCTAGCAATCGGTATGTAATACGTTAATACATTCTGTTAGAACAAAATAAACAATTATTATTAATGTGGTTAACTAAAAATCAGTGAAAATTAAACACGATTAACATAGAAGAGTTATAAATTAGTAGTTTACATTAAAATATAGAACGAAGTACAAAATTCATATTTTCTTTCACACCGTTAATTAAGTCACATTCAAGATGGCGATTTTTCCATAAAGTATACTGAAGATTAAAAAAGGAACTATGCAGCAAAATTGCATAATCAATATATAGTAATATAATCAATAATTATAGAATATTAGAAGTAGCCCAACAAAAGAGTCGGCTGGCTCAATGATGGTTACTTTCTTCTATTAAGAGCAGTCATTGCGAAACACCTTTCAGATCCTAATTAATAATTTTTATTTTAGGTTTTACAAGTTGCCTCTCGCCGTTCACGCCATTCTCTTTCTGTTTACATTCATGCTTGTTCTTTTGGTGTTGGATAGGCAGGTAAGTAAATATTACATTGTTTCATTTAACTATGCATATTTGTGTAATAATATAAATATTTAATTATAATTTAAACATTACATTGTTTTATTTAACTATGCATATTTGTGTAATAATATAAATAGTTAATTAAACATTAAATTATTTTATTTAACTATGCATATTCGTGTAATAAATAGTTAATTACTAATTATATTCTAAACATTACATTATTTTATTTAATTGTGCATATTTGTGTAACAATATCAATAGGTAATTATTAATTATAATCTAAGCATTACATTATTACATTATTTTATTTAACTATGCATATTTGTGTAATAATATAAATAGTTAATTACTAATTATATTCTAAACATAACATTATTTTATTGAATTATGCATATTTGTGTAATAATATCAATAGTTAATTACTACTTATAATCTAAACATAACATTATTTTATTTAATTATGCATATTTGTGTAATAATACCAATAGTTAATTATTAGTTATAATCTAAACATTACATTATTTTATTTAACTATGAATATTTGCGTAATAATATAAATAGTTAATTATTAATTATAATCTAAACATTATTTTATTTAAGCGTAAATATTTGTGTAATAATATAAATAGTTAATTATTAATTACAATCTAAATCTTTCATTACATGACTTGGAGGCATTTGTCAAATAGTTCTCTTCGATGAATTTCATCATAGAATTCGACCGGTGTTTCTTTTTTAGGCAGAATCAACGGCACGAGCTGATTTCTTGTGGCAAAATAAGCTGCGAGTGGAACAGGATGAAGTGGAAACGATGGGCAGCATTAATAAAATACTCTTGGAAAATATTCTTCCTGCACATGTAGCTCAACATTTCTTATCGAATAATCGACAGACAGAAGTATGTAGATAAATATTTCCTACTGTTAGTCAGCATTTAAAAAATAATAATATTGTTTTTCGATTCTGAATGAAATTTTGAAAAGTCGATTTCTTATAAAAGGGTTTCTCAACAAGTAACGTCATTATTAGTTTTTAATCCTTTGAAGCAGGTTGGACACCAGTGTTCCTTTTATATATATTTTTTTTCTGATGCTGTTCTTAAAAGTAAAAATATATTTTGGTATTTTTTAATTAGAAAACAATAGTATATTAGTTACTGAAAATCTGTTAGATTATCTCAATTATATTTGTACTAAAATTCGAAATTCTTCCCCCCCCCAAAAAAAAGTTTGATTTTTTTTCCAATCATCTTCAAATTTATTAATAATTGGTTTTGTAAATGAAAGAAATTTTAATGATGAATTACTGTTTCCATTAGATATAAATAGCTGAAAATAAGTTCAAATTTTAAAAAATATTGTTTGGATGTGAGCCGTGTTTGGAAGATTCTATCTTTAACGCAGAAAAAGACACCGGTGTTTCATAATCATAGATTATTAAAATGCTAAATATAGTATTTTTCACTTATTTTGACCTAAATTAATTTCAAATTAGTGAAAAAAAATTTGAAAAATACGTTAAATAAAAATTCTTCGTCAAAGGATTAAATCGAAAAACAATTAATAAAAAATATAAAATTATTTTCTGAAAAGCGAAGTAGAGGAGCGCAATGAAAGATATCGTGCCAAGTATCGATATCCTTCTAGACTCACCAATAAAAAAATTGCTTTTGTCGTTTCACGCCGTAGACTGTAGAAGAGAACCAGTTGTGATCGAGATATATCTCGCTGATCTGCCCAAAGATGTACACAGTGTGATCTACCGCCAAACCAAATTTTTATTTAAATCATCTAAAGAATTAAAATTGCAAAGAACAAGAATTTACAATAAGACAAAAAAGGGGAGGGAAAGGGATAAAACAAAGCTGAAGGAAATAATCAAATATTTAGCAGGTTGACAAATAAAAATATAATAAATAAATAAAAATTTATTTTCCTTTTAGAGTGGAAAGAAAATAGTACAATATCATCGGATGTGGTGCAAGGTTACGGAAAATACTAAGTTACGTAGCAATATGGAAACAAAGGTTTACATGAAGTTAATGCTTAAAAAAGGCGAATGAGTTTTGTCGATTAAGTCAGATCTGGGAGGCCAGTGTTTTCTTCCTGTTTCGGATACGGTGAAAAGCTACAGAAAATATTGCATTAAGTAGCAGTATGATCGTTTCATTTAATTAAATAAAACGTTATTTTAATGAAATAGACAGCTTCTCATGAAAGAATCATTGAAGATCGTAGACATAAATCTAGATGCGTTGCTAAAAGTAGTTTTGAATCTACTTTTATTATTTATTATTCATGAGTAATTTTGCGTGAAAGTTGCGTAGATTGCATGCGTTGATCTTCTCTTAAAATCAGAAGAAAAAGTAAGTTCTGCTGTGACCAGAAAAAAAGTTTTTGAAAGAAATTTTAACATTTTTATTCAGTCTCCGTCCATGAATATCTCCATGATTTTCTAACTTTACTTGAAACACTGAAAATTCATAATCAGAAGTTGCTTTAGGTCGAAGGTATTGTGGCCAACAAATAGTTACTTAATAATACTAAATTACTTAATAAACAATTTAATAAAATTATTTAAATTGAAAAAAAAAGTTCATTCTTCCGTGATTTTTCCTGCTGCTTTGATAAGTTTTATACATTCCTATAAAAAAGCATGTTTTATTAATTTATTTCGAAAAAAATAACTCTTTTAAATTCTTCCTCTTAGGCACTACAGCCGGTTAACGGCCAAGGCCGTCTCAGTCAGTTTACCCCATCTAGTTCCGTTTGATGCTATATTTGTCTAACTATTAACTCCCAAATTCCTTAACCACTTTTCTACACAATAAACGCTACTCACCGGCCGGAAAACAAAAACTCCAAGAAATATCCAAACATTTTACAGCATAACTCAATCACTGATGCTTTTCCATAAAAAAAGTTTGAAAGCTGGTAATCTTTACAATTAAAAATAAATGAAAACTCACACTTTATTCACGGTGGTCCGATATATAGCATCATTCATGTTTCACAAATTTTGTTCTAGTATTTTGTATCATCCATCTTGTTCTAGGTCTTCCTCTTTTTCTTTTCCCCTCTGGAGTTCGAAAGTTATTTTTTAACAGAATTTTCATCGCTATATCAAAATACATATCCTAGCCACCTTATTTAAGATTAGATTCCTTGATCACTTTTACTAGGTTACGTTCTTTGTATTTTCACTGTAATTCCTGATTGTAACGAATTCTCCAGGTTCCGTTCTCTTACTGCATCAAAAACTTTTCTTAATATTTTTCTCTAACTCTTTCTAAGTGTCAATTTATTTTAATAACACTATTAAATTTTCTAGTTATGATCATTTTACTCCTTATTCCAGGAATTGTATCATGAATGCTATAAAAACGTTGCTGTGATGTTTGCGTCGATACCTAATTACAAAGAATTTTATGATGAAACTGACATCAATAAACAAGGGTTAGAATGTCTACGATTACTGAATGAAATTATCTGTGATTTTGATAAAGTAAGTTTAATGTAAATATATTATTTAAAGTTATCAAGTTAACTTTTATCTGTGCAGTAAGCCTATCAAAATTCTTTCCAAATGCCAGATTAAGGAATACTTTAATTGAAAATTTATTATTTTCAAACTACTTAAGATGGCTGGTTGTTACAAATTCTGCTCCAGCTCACCCGAACACGGTGCTGTAAAATATCCCTAGTGGTGGACAGATCGTGGGTTCGAATCCCATTGCCGTAAAGCTAAACCTGAGAGTTTTTCGCGATTTTCCTCTTTATGTGACGCAAATGCTGGCTAGTTCCATGAAAATGTCTTCCACGAAAGCTAGTTTATCTTATTGTTTGATCCAGGAACTCCCGAGATTTCTGAATTGAGTTTAAAACTACAAAGGGACGGAGTTGAACTTTGATAGTCGTAAACTTAGAATTGGGTCTGCTATTCAGCGTCAGTTATAAAATGAAATAAAGAGCAACTTTTAATAAAATAACTTAATAAAGGGTAGCTTAACAGTAAAAGTAAATTTTAAAAGATATTTTCCTTTTATTAGCTATGAAAGTTTCAAACATCCGTTGTACTACAAAAGTTTCTAACATTCAGAAAATTCCAAATAGACGAAAATTGTCAAAATCTGGTATTATACATTATCGTCTCAATGCAGAATTCCTATCGGTGTATTGAGTAGAATTCCGTTCCCCATGCAGCGCCATCTTTCGCTAAAGTTAACAGCTTATTTACTCACAGATTTTACAACTAATTTAAAAAATAATATATGAAATCTTACAACTTTTACTCTCATTTATTTACTTATTTTAATTCAATTATTTAAGAATTATTTAGTTTTAAAATTGGGTACTTTTTTTTTTGCTTGATACCTTATATTTTTGCTCATAAGCTGAAATAAAATAATTTTCGGTTACGATGAAACTTCACGATTCATAAAAATATGAGGCCCATAATTCCTTAACAAAACAATTTGTTCTTTGGCACTTGGTTTATTTTGACGCGAATTCTATTATAAATATTAAATAAAGAAGACAAATAAGAGTTTTAATGTTTTTATTTGTAGCTGCTCTTGAAACCGAAATTTAGTAGAATAGAAAAAATAAAGACAATCGGTAGCACTTATATGGCAGCTGCTGGACTTCAGCCTGGAAGAGAAGAAAATGGGGTAAGTTTAAAATTCGATTTGTCTTCTTAACGATTTTAGGAGAAACATCGCTGTAAAATATTTTTAAAAAGTAGCTCTTTAATTATTTTTTTTTACATTCTGCTACAGAAAGTGCATTTTACAACCTTTTATTAACTTTCTGAAATGAAACTCGCAACAGTGATTTTTATATTAACCTGAATAACTTTTTGCGAATTTTAAGTGGTATTTTATAAAAACATGCACTATAATTTCTTCAGTTTTCTACTGATTTGATTAAACACTAAATGAGTATATTATTCTAAACAAATATTGTTTTGTACCTACAACTTTTACTTTAAATAAAATTTATAATAGGAGACTTAAAGATATTTTTTCTAAAAGTCCGAGTTTGCATTTCATTTAATAAAAACCATAAAAACCAATCAGCTCAATTTTACATGAAACCAAAGCTACATTTTAAATTGACATTCTATCTTGATCTATATCATTAATTAAGTTTGAACAAATCCATTTAAAATTTGAAAAAAAAAATCGTGTCTGTAATATATATTCTTATTCATACGAGTTTCACCTTTTGCTTTTAAACAATGGGATACCGGCAAGTTATGTAGTGTGGGTATCTCGATCCTGATTGGCTGTTCAAAAGTGACATTTGTTTATGTTCACAACTAATCGTTCTATTATATTTCGAGTAAGTCAAGCCCGGCAAGTATCAATTATCTTAAATGATACATTCTATATTCTTTCACAAAGATTTCAATTGTTTCACTATATATTTCCTATTTAACGGAAAGCCAGGCACGATGCCATGTAGAGCATAAATAAACTAATAATGCATTGAAGTTGCCAAGTACACAAAACAAAAATATGTCGCGGTTACCATGAAATACATAAACGAATAATATATCTAAGTTAAGTAAAAGATGTAGACGAGAAAGAATTATATTTCAAAAAATTCTATGTGCGATACGTCACTCTTTTTAATTTACTTCTCGCTAATTAATATTCTAACTTATGTGGAGAAACTTAGCTCAACTTTAATACGCCATTTTGCTTATAAACTATCATCTGGCGCTGACATCATAAGTCACATGTGGGGGTATTCCCGATTTTGTGGGGGTATCCCCGAAAAGCAAAATTACTCATAGTTACTAAATGTGCTTGCTTAAAAAAAGGTAGATAAGTAGTCACTTTATTTACGTTGCACGAGAGCTGCACAATGGGCTATTGGCGGCAGTCTGGGAAAAATCCCTATGGATGATTTGAAAACATGTCATCACAATTTTGACACTCTGCAGAGGTGATTGCTCATCCGCTTTAGCAGCCCGACGACCAGCGCGAGAAGTTGAGCACTTCATGGTAGAACAGTTTAACAAGGACCGATACCACGCACCCTCGGTCCCTACGGGAGCTGATCAAAACCACTTACTGACCGCCACCATAGATGCTTGACTTCGGTGTTCTACTGGAAGCTGTGCCTTTACGATCATTCCACTGCAGGACTAAATAAAAATATTCTTTTTTTGCAAAATTTTATTGAAATGTTTACTTTTAAAAATAATTGAAAAAAAAGGGGAAACTATGAAGATATTTACTTAAAGTTATTTGGGACTTAATTATATGTAGTTTGCTGCTGATCAGTATTTTACTTTTCACCTATTCCATTTTTCAGGATCAATTACGACAGGGGCATAATCTGATTGCGCTGACAGAATTCGCTATAGCTTTGATGACTTTACTTGATCAAATCAATAGGGAATCATTTCAAAGATTTCGTCTACGTGTAGGTAAGTCATATACATTGTAATTAATATTTTACTTTTCCCAGCCTTTTCTTAACGGCATCTATTGCCAGTCAGGGCTTTAAGGAAATAAATACAGCTTGATTGGCAAAAGCTAGCAAATTTATGAAATAATGAAATTCGCTCCAATATCGAAAACGTCGCGTGTGATTTTTATTTAAATTTTTTAAGAAGAAGAAGAAACTGGTTTTTGTTTGAAGAGGTTGTAAATTGGTTTTGGATATATTTAATGCGGATTAATAAATGATAATTCTTTTTTTTAATTTTTCGCTCAATTTCCAATTACACCTAATCGAATTTTTAATTAAATTAATGGTGATTCTGCTAGTCTAGACCCAGACCGCTCAACTGTGCTTTGACATTGTCCAAAACGAAAACTTTATAAAACTGAAATGAGGTCTTATAGTAAATGTACATTTTATTTTATTAGAATTGCGATATTATCTAGAGCAGCTTATCTATGAGGTATCAATAAAAATTCATTTATTCAAACTCCGTAACTTGTAACGATATTCTAAAAATTTGAAATACAGTAATGGAAATATAAAATGAGAGAGAACAATAAAAATATGAAATGAAGCTTCAGTATGATTTTAAGACATATGACATTTCATAAATCTCTTCACTCGATTGATTAAATGCATACAGGGTAATAGATACAGCTACTTCCTTTACTGTGTACATTTAAATATTTGTTGTGAATAAAGTAAAAAAAGATCTATGTATTAAGGATCGCAAATTCAATTGCAAATTAGGCTTGTTGCAAACAGAGGAGAGGACAAGAAGACTGGTTGACTAAAGGGGCATTCAGTGCAAGTATACCTTTCTTCTCTTTGGCACAAAATGCTAATATCCTAACCCGTTTTGTTTTTTCAGTCATTTTCAGGTCTCTTAAGAAAGTTAAATTTTAAGTCCTTTAAAATCACATTTGTACTGATAATCACTGCGTCGATTTTTATAGCTTGGTTAAATTGGATAAACTGGGCGTGCTTTAAAATATAAATTAAGAGAACACGACATACGTTCGTCATCAAGAATTTTATAAGCTATTTAAGGTGGAACACTGTTTGAACGTTGGGTATAAATTTTACGTCGATAACACCAAAATTCTTTCCATCTATACCTATCACAAGCTCGATTTAATGGTCTGGGATCTAGTTTCATTCTATGAATGTCAATTCTCTAGTTAATGACGTCAGTTACCCACAGGCTCTACATTCTGCATGAAAATGCCTTGTTATGAGCTCACGAAACATGCCGACTTTCCCCCTTTATTCAGAAGCAACTGATGTTTACTTTCTATGCTTGCGGCAAAACCAATCTTTAACTATTACTAAGGCTGTTATAGCCTGTTTATAAACTTTTTCTAATAGTGATGCCAAATAACGCTATTTATCGGTAAATTAGGTATTTTTTTTAAAAATAAAAAGTAATTCGCGTTGAGTGTACCAATTTAATTATAACGTAACATTTTTAGTTCATAATTATCAAATATAAATCAATATTTATTACTACTTATTTACTGCTAAGTTTCACTTTTTATGTGTGTCTCAGATAAATTGAGACTATATTTATCAGTGCCATGTGATAATGAATAATGTTACTACGCTTTAAAAATAATACTAATGTATCAATATGATTCCGTAGTTCTTAGTTCAAACACGTATTCTTAAAATAGAATGGTTTTTTTTTATTTATTTTTTTTTTTAAAATAGTTTTAAACCTTAAGAAATTTTTTCCTTGCTTAATCTCTCAAATGCTGCTCTAACAAGTGTAATGCATTAAACAATTATAAGAACTATTATTCTTTATCGTCTGCTCTGAGATATTTCTGGAAGAAGAAAAAAAAAGATTTAAATATTTGAATTAGAAGGATAATTTTCGAATATTAGTGAGAAACCAAATTGTGATAAAATTCTCCGTAGTTCTAAAATATGTAAATATTTTTATTGCATCATCAATGCAGACAGTAAGTAAAAGAAGCAGAAATATGAAGAAAGGATGCAACAAATATGTCCGAAGCTAACAAGAGTCCATCAGTGAGCTAGGTTAACCTTTTGAATTTCCCCCATCTCGCATATTTAAAGTTTCTTCATAATCGAAATTTAAAAGATTTCCATATTCTTTTTTATTTAATTCTTTGTATTTACAGATTCTATTGATAAATATATTAGTATTTATCTGTTTACTCCCCTTGCAACAAAATTGTAAAGAATATTATCACGAACTATTTTTTTAGTGGTGGAACGCTGCACATTGTACTACTTACAGAGCTTAAAAGTTAGGTTTGCGGGACTAGTATACAACTTTATTTCTTTATTATAATTGAAATAAGCATATAGAATATAATTCTGTGGTAATTCATATCCAGGTATCAACAGTGGTCCAGTAATAGCAGGAGTGGTCGGTGCTCAGAAACCACAATATGACATTTGGGGAAATACTGTGAACGTTGCTAGTAGAATGGATAGTTGCGGAACTATGGGGAAAATACAGGTGAGTAATTAATCTTAAAACAAATTAAATTGAACAAATTCATTCAAAAATGATAACAGAAGCCAAACAGAATTTGCATAGCGAGTGCTTGGAATTCTATCTCATACAACTATACCAGGGTGCGTAGCGCTTTCAAAAAGTGCTTAAAGGTGCTTATTTTCGATTTTCGTTTTTTTAAAAGCCCTTAAAGGTGCTTTTTTCATTGGGTGTTTTTAAAAAGTGCTTAAATTTTCCCTTTCAAAAAGAGATTTTTTCGTTTACTATGTTGATTCTCGCTTCGAATTATGCAAAAAGACACAGTTCACATTGTTCTATTCAACGTTTTCACGTTTAATTCAACCCCAATTTATTTCGGCGTATTGTCAGTCCGTAGCGTATGAAAACGCCATTCGTTTCACATGATTCAAAATTTCATGATTTTTGACAATTGCCAAAGCAATGCCAAAAGTTTTTTTTTTTTTTTTGGCATGATGGTTAAAACCAGATTGGTGTCTTCTTCTTTTCACCTAACCCATTTCAGACCTAAAAGATGATTAATGATGTGCACCTGTGGCACCGAGGGTCCGTTTGTAGGGGGAGGGTACTATTTCCATAGAAGGATTTTATATAGGGGACAGAATCCTTTTCTCCAGGAAAACAACTTGAAAGAGAAAAACATTTTCTCCTCACCACCGTTCATTTATACTCTCGTTAACATATCCCGTTCACCTTTTTTTTGGAGCCATTTTCGAAAATGTCTGAGTTAACCATTTCTGGAGGATTTGATATATTTTATCTTTTACTTTACAAAAGTTATCTCTTCAATATATATCGAAGATATAAGGGCGACGCAATTTATTGGCGATGCGAAGATAACAATTGCAAGGCAAAATTAATAATGAAAATGGTATCGAAATTATACGATTATTATTATTTAAACATTATTATTTCATTTTAATATTTTTGATATAATCTTTTTTTGATATGAATATAAGAACAAAGTGAAAATTTAATTAAAAAAAACTCATTTGATTAGGGCCGTAAACAAGAGTCTGTGTTATGAATCACATATTTAATAAGAAAATCGCTCATTCATTTTATACAGTAAACAGACAATCAAAACAACTTTTTAAACTATTAAACATATTGCTAATTTATTAATAAATTTATTTTTATATCAATTTTAAAATACAAATCTTTATGTAAATTTAAAAATTTAACCTGTAAATTTGCCATTTAAAAAGCAACAAACTGAAATTTAGCTACAACTTTGAAAGTTTAATCAAAATAAAGTCTACTCATTTAGAAAATTTAAGATTAATTCCCTGTTTAGTTTATATGACAATCTATTCTTCTCAAAAATGGTAATTCCAGAAATAATTCCCGGCAATTTGTAAATTTGCTAATTAATGTACGTTGTTTGAACAATTATAGAACAGTTAAATATCATAACTGAGACATATAATTTAATGAATACTGTTTTAAAGTTAATACAGAATAAGAATTTATTAATTTAGAAAATATTGAATAGACTTACAGCTAATTAACTGGGCATATTCCTGCTAAGAAAGTGGTACAGATCGATACTCAGTGTTTTGCATTTTTAAAAATGAAACAACTAATTCTTCTAATTATAAAGATGGGCTTCATGACGATTTCTTTGATAATGAAAAAAAAACTAAAGTAGTTTCTATCAAACTAAAGAGAAAAAAATGAAAGACGTAAAAAAAAAAATTAAAAAAAATATTGAACAAAAAAATTTAAACAAGTTTAAGTTAGTATTGATTTTTTAGTTAAAGTTACTCATCATTAATATAAAAGTGAAAATAAAAAAACCTAAAATTGGAAATCATAATAAAATTTATAAATTTTTTAAACTAAAAGAATTACTTGTCTCCTTAACAGTTTTATACTTAAGTTTATGATCAATCAGTTTTATACTTATAACAGTTTTAACTTAATTTTATGATAGATTAAAAAACTGTTGAAGTGTCCTATACCAACTTTATGTATGCATTAAATTTAACAAACCTTATAATAATTACGCATAGAATAACTGTTGATCCATTGTATCCTTCGCAAATAAAAATAATATATATTTTAGATACTAAATAATAAAAAATTTTAGATACTAAATAAAACAAGTGCAATTACGAAAAATGTCTCGTAGATAAAATGCTTGAGGTATTTTAAATTAATATCTATTATGCAGAATTTATGTTTACATAACTTACCAAAAAAATATTAAGTAATTATAATTTAAGAAATGAGCCTAAAATTTTTTAATTGAATTTTGTTTTTTTACAAATTTAAAAAAAAATATTTGCATTTAATAGATGATTACATCAAATTTAGAGTATTGATGTTGGAAACATTGATATTTGAAGTTATTGAAGTAACAATATATAGATGTTTTAATTTGCAATCTTTTAATATAGGGTACTTTTAAAAAATGGAACTAATTTTGGTGAGTAACTCATGACAGATGGCTTAATAAAGTTTCATACCATACAATTTTTTTCTTCATATTCTGCAGATTTGAAGTATCCTGCCTAAAATCTACAATTTTAAGATAAAAACTAATTGTTGTAAATTCATTATTAAACTATGTTTATTTTTCTTTTTTTTAAAAAAAAAACTAATATCTAAAGTCACTAAAATACATTAATATTAAAACAGAAAGGAAAAAAAATAATAATTATAAAAATTTAACGAATAGAAAAGAAAATTAACAAAGCAATTTAAAAAAAAAATTATTTTAACACAGAGTTTTTTATTATAAAACTAAAAATATAAATTCATGAAATTTGGACCAAACTGTACCTATTTATATAGAAAAATAATTTATAATTTTTTTACCACGTTAATAAAAAATAAAGATTAGGTAAATACTAAGATTTCGTGCGAAACTACAAAAATTAATGACGAAATAACTATTAAAAACAAAAGAAATATAATTTTCTTGTAATAAATTGAATTTTATTTTTGTTGTACTTATAACTGCAAAATTTTATTTATTATTTTTAGTTCTTTCCATTTCATCTAGCTTCTTTTTTTAATTTTTAAGATAATACTATATACATTCATTCGCAATAGACTCGGCAGTAACTACGTAGGAAAATTGCGCTCAACACGAACAAGTAGTGCTGTTTGTCATATTATGTTGCTTTGAGGGTCAATAACATAACACATATTAGCAAACAGCCAATTTTTAGTTATAAATTTTCCTAATTTGGGATTTACTGTGTAAATGCATTCTTCAACTTTGTACAGGTTAATAAAAATGTTCTCTTAGTTATCATATGGTTACAACATTACTGTTAATGAAAAAAAAACATTTAAATAAATTTATTGTAAACGAAAGTTGGAACAATTTGAATTGGACATCTAATTAAATAATTTAAATTTTTTATATAACAATCTGTTTGTCGTTTAAAAAAATAAACCTAATAGCCAAGCAGGTTACATTTCAACAAAATAAGTGACAAATAGTACTAATCTTTCAACTTTGATGTTAGAAGCAAGCTATATAAGAGTCAGCCATCCTAAGAAAACCCGAAATACCCCTTTTTTTAATAAAAACGTGATAAATCATTGTTTCAGTTATTATTTGTTAATTAATATGTTATTTATTAATTAATATATTATTTATTATATATATAAATTACTCAGCCAGTCGCCAACTCTTGTAATTGCTTCTCATTCGCCTCATTGCTTCATATTCCTTAAAGACCGATATTTCCTACAAAAGATCGAATATTTTGTTTTCAAAATATACAATCATTTTGTTAACATGTTAATCATAACGATTAACTTGATTTGAAATGCAATCATACGAACTTGATGAAAAAACTCTACCTAAATGAACAGAAAATGAATGATTCAACAAAAATTAAAAGATAGGTAATTTTATTTGTTGACGAAACTTATAATAATTTAAATAGGAAACTGTTCTTATCACTATATATTAAGTTTTTTTTCTCCCCAGCATATCTTGAAACTTGAAAGTTTTACTGAATTTGGGCAGCAAAACAAAATGTAATGCAAACTTAAAAGTAATAAAAAATTAGCGAAATAAGCTTTGAAAGTCTAAAAAAGCTAAATAATAAGATAAGTATTATAAATTTTGTCCTCTTATATTTATTTTCCTCTTATCTTATAATTTTTATACAACATGTAAGGTTAAATTGAACACCCAAAACAGCGTTACGAATTTTTAATATATAAAGATTGTATATTAATTTTGTTTAAATACGAGTAATTTTCATTTTCCATTACAGATCAAAAATGGGACGAGATTCTAAATAAATTAGTAATCCTATTCTCTCATTAATTGCGTAACAAATTTTTCCAAGTTATCTTCATGCTAATTTGAATTTGCATTAAAGCCTAGCTAGTTATTTAATTTTTTTGTAATTAGTTGCATCTGTCCAATATAAATATTTTCAAATTATTAAGAAAATTATTTTTTAAACCGAAGTTATAAATTTAAGATCTTAGATTATTATTATTTTTTCTTTTAATACTTTAAGTTATTTCATTTTACTACTTCATTAATAATATGATTTTGATTTTCAAACAGAAAAATTTTGAAAGCAATTCTACTTCAAATTATAATTAATTGAACTTCAGCATTTTTTAAACTTAAGCAAGCAAGTTTATTTATATTTGAAGTTTCATAAAAATTAATTTGTGATAAGATAAAATCTGTACAATACTATCTGCAGCTAATGAAACTTGCAGACATTACAAATTTAAATTACTAATTGTTTTGTTAACATATATTTAAAAAAAAATTCTTTACCACATTTAGCCTAGACGAAATGTAGAATGTAATTGTAATAATTTTAGAAAAGGTTTTGTAATAATTAATTCTATTATTAAAATTTTTGTAATTTTAAGAAAAATTTTATTATTCATAAAAGTTTTAAAAAATCATCACTTTCAAAAAAATAAAAATAAAGTTTTTTATTTAGTATACAGTACACCATTTCAACTATTGTGCTATTATAAATTGTTAAAATATAATTTTGTACAGAAAAATAATGTATTGAAATATGCAGAAAAATGAAAAGTAAGCTATTTTTGAAATAGTAAATGATGTTCGAGCTCATTTCTTGCTTTATTTATTTTTTGTAATTATTTTAATGCACAAAAATTAAATAAATAAAAATTCTGCAGCTTTTCGTACTAAAGATCAATGTATTTATTTATTTTTCAACTATAATTAATTTTGACAAAAATATATTTATGTTATTATTGTAAAATATATTATTGTTATCAAAGCAATATAAACTTCTTGTATTATGTTTCCACTTGAGAATCACGCAATGTTTATAAATAAAGGAAAAAGAGTTAAAAAATATTGTAAAGATTTATTAAAAGATAAGAAAAAAAAGAAACATCAGAAATAAAAATTTTGAATGAATTTGCGTAAAATAATAATGCTAATTATTTCGCTTTTGTTACGTTGAATATGTTATCAAGTACGTGAAACGGAAAATAAATAAATAAACAGTTTTTTAATTGATACTCCTTTGCATCACACTTATAGTGTTCCAAAGCAGTTAAAAATCCCTAACATCATCTTCAACACGCTCTTTTCCCTCATGTGTTTTCCCTTTTGCTGAAGAACAAAATTATTTTCTTATCTTTGACTACCACACCTGCTCGACCCCACCCTTTTTTCCATTTTGACAGTTTAAGTTAAAAGAAGTTTAGGGCCGTCAATTGTTAAAAATTTTCCAACCTAGCCTAATTAATGATATTTTTAAGTGCTTTTCTGAGTACTTGTAAAGTGCTTAAAAGGTGCTTATTTTCTGTTGAATAATTTGGCTACGCACCCTGTATACGTATATTTGTATGATAATCGTTATGTATATTTTGATGATAAGAAAAGACCATTACGGTGTAGGATTTAAGTAAGCATCCACTACAGCTTATAGTTCCGTTTTATTTCGCTTTCAAACTGTACATATATGCTTTCAAAACAATTTAGAAGCTTTTTAAAAGTTAAACTCGTCAAGCAGAAATTTAATTCGTTCTGTCTTATGTGATATATCACAGAATTATTTTTTAAAAAAAGGTCATAGTTTTCGAAGTCTTACTAGAATTCTAGACATATTTCAATAAATAAGGAGAACATTCGCTCTTGTAAAAGAAACAACTATATAACGTTGTAAGAGTAATTGATATGATTGGATCATTAAAAATGGCACGTCTAATGCCAACATGTCCTTAACAAATCAAAAAGCTTCCATTCGGCGTTCACGTAGATGCAAATCAAGTAAATCTTTCCATAAGAGTGATGATTTTTTCTTAAATTGCAACAGAGTAGTGAAATTTACGTTTAATTATTATGATATTTTTAATATATTCATTGAGTGTATTTTGAATACCATATCTTATGATAAATATAGATTAGGCATAATTACTAACAAAGTTAACATCGCGATCATTACTGAAGCTAATAAAGATAGAATTCCATATTATCGATTATTAAATTATCGTAACTGTCAAAAAATATCGTTTCAAAATTCACTTGATAAATGGTAAAATTCTTCGAGCGAAGATGCACTTGAAAAAAAACTGTTTTCCTCCATTGCAATGATTCACAGTTCAAGAAACGTTGGTAAGTTTATTCTGTCTTTAATGCTGCTGGTTTATTGATTGGCAACAAATGCAATAAGAAAATGTAATTGGAATGAAAAATATACTGCGCTCTGTAGTAAATGTTCATTGTTCTGCCAATATATAGCGAAAATAAAATTCCAATGGAGAAACTGATTGAGAAAACTTTCTTACGAAATTTTTCCTTAATTAAAATTTTAAATATCCCTATAATTTTCAACTTTAAAGGTTGTACTGTAATTCAGAGAATGAATAGTCCTTTAAAAATGAGAAATATAAAAATTGCATAGTTCTTATGCAATTTTCTAATTGCTGATGCTCAGTAATACTCAATAATATTTGCTGAATGCTGATGCCCAATAATACTCACAGGGGTCTGCCCAGACATTTTGTGAAAGGTTCGGTTTTCGTGAAATTGTGAAAAAATTACTCACATTCCTTCAACCAGGTTCCGCTTTTATGAATTTGGGCAAATAGGGTCCGGTCATTGCAAAACACTTTTTCAAGGAGTTTTTAAATTGTAAATCGATACAAGATTATGTCCGGCACTGTAAAATTATAATAAGAAAATTTTAAATTTTCAAAAATAAGCAGCAATCTCTGCTTCTAAATTAGAGATGCAACATACAAATATTTGGTATTTAGCCTATACTACTGAACGCAGAATATTCATTTCGGACGAATAATGGAAGAATCGTCTGCCGAGGACAAATGATTCGTTTACATCCATCTTTCTTGTTTTCTGCCCTGAGAAGGGCTTATTCGATTAAAAAAAACAATAATGAAGATAAATAAAGTTCTGAAGGGTTCGATTGAAAGAAAAATCATTTTGTGAAGGGTCCGTTTTTAAGTTAAAACATTTTGTGAAGGGTCCGTTTTTATGAAAAGATATTTTGTGAAGGGTCCGTTAACGAACCCAAATTTCTTCTAAACAGACCCCTGACTCAGTAATAATATTTGCTGAATGATGATGCTAAGCCGCGTTTAAAAAATAATACTTTGATTCATTGTCTAATTATTTAAAACTGTCTCAAAGAGGAACTTTACGTTTTTTATCTGAAAGCTATAAAGTCATTTTTTTCCTTAAAAAAGTACGAATACCATATTTCCTAAAAGTTTTGCATTACTTGATAACAAAAATTAAAACTCCGAGACAGCTTCAAATGAAACTTCTAATCTACAGGTAACAGAAGACACTGCAAGGTTGCTGATGGAGCATAATTACGAGTGCGAATGCCGTGGCAAGATCTACGTCAAAGGCAAGGGCAACTTGACTACATACTTTGTGAAGACACAGTTTGATCGAACCGGGGCTGCTGACTGCTGAATATAGATGATCTCTGATGTATAGCTTGAAGCACAACAATACATCTTCAAGTCATTCACGGTGAATAATGTGCAATTAAAAGCTCATTCTCGCTCAAAAGCTGCGTTTAAGCTTTGCAAAGTAACCACTTGAAGGTTGAGAGTGAGATTTGGCCTCACTTTCTAGAGTCTGAGATATCGTCGATTCAGACACAATAAATGTAATTTAAAATGTATTCACATTTGTTTTAGAGACAATTTATTATTTTAATCAGCACATATAGTTTGAGTATACTTAAAACAACTGTTAATTTTTTTAAAATAATTAGTTTTCGAGTATTTTGATGTCATACGTAGATACTTAGTTACGGTTGATAAAACTCTTAATTTTTCTTTTTCAATTTGCACAAGAGTTTAAAGAAATTTCAAGAAAATGTCATTATTGAGAAACCAGAGGCATTTTAAAAGGTTTTTAAGACAATGTTTTTTATTGAAATAACATTAGTCTTTATTTTATAATTCAGGCATGGCTTTTTAAAAAATATGTATAGTTGTGAGGAAAATTCCTTTTGAAAAGTTATAAAATAAAAATTATTTTATAAAAATTATATTACAAAAATTATATTATAAAAATTATATTGTAAAAAAATCATTTCAAGCATTTTTTAAAATTTAAAATTAGTACCGATTATATATTTAGTAAATTCGTCTTGTCTTTGCATAGAAAAAAAATCGATGTTTGATCAACATACTAACGTGTAAGAGTTTCACAAGACTTAGTGTTACTGAGACTATTTAAAGTTCCTTCAATTTAGATATTGATATACATTTGCAAAACTGCAGTCTGTAAAAAAATTATAAGTATACTCTATGTAACCAAAGCGAAAGAATAATAATGTTTCTAGGGGAATAAAAAAAATTTCAAAAGTGTCTGGGATGTTAAGGTAAAAGAATAATGGGTATTAAGTATGAACTTATTTTTAAGGACCAACAGATGCTAAGAAGACAACGATCTTTTTTTCAAGACTGAATTAAAATGGTCCAACGTTTAAATACGTTTCGTGTTTCAGAGAAAGTAAAGTAGCTTTTTCTCATTGCCGTAATTAAAGGATCCTATTTGAGAAGAAGTAATGAGGACGAAACTTTCTCAAAAGTACCCGGAAAGAAAAAATTGTGCTAATTTACCATACTGTATGATAATGATATTTCTCTTAAAAAAATTTCCCGTGAATAAAACCCAAATATACGGTATTTAAACTATTCATTTTGCAAATTTCAAAATGCGGTAACGGATAATCGGAATTCTCGGTTTTAGAAATTCTAGTTCTTATTGCAACATATTTATTAATAAATATTAAGTTGAAAATTAAAGTTGTAACCGAACAAATTGTTTCGATACCATACTCTTAGGTATCACAGTAAAATTATCAAATTTTACTATTTTTACCAAATTTTGTCAGATATTATAAAACCACATTTAATTGTTATTTCTACAAAAATCATGACCAAAGCCCATCGGTAAAAATTACCGAGCTCTTTGGTGTTCTCTTATAGCCAGAAACACAGTGAATTTAACCATAATCTGATAGTTTTGATCCTACTTTTTTCTAAGTGTGTAAAAGTTGCTTAAAAGTAAAGCGGAAGCAGTTGATTGTGTGAGAATTACACAAGCTACAGTAAGGCCACAAGTCTGGTTATATAATAGTCCAGATTATATAATACTAAAAATTTCTTTGTACGCCATTTACCTGAACTTGAGCAATGCAGTAAGATATATGAAGGAGAGAATACGAGCGAAGGAGAGAATATATTTCGAAGAATATATTTCAAAATAGAGTTGGGGAAATTATATTTATTAAATCCTGAAATCAAACCAATATAATACTAAAAATTTCTTTGTACGTTATTTACCTGAACTTGAGTAAATATAACAAGATATATGAAGGAGAGAATATATTTTGAAGAATATATTTCAAAACAGAATTAGGGAAATGATATTTATTAAATCCTGAAATCAAATCAATATAATACTAAAAATTTATTTGTATGCTATTTACCTGAACTTGAATAAATACAACAAGATATATGAAGGAGAGAATATATTTTGAAGAATATATTTCAAAACAGAATTAGGGAAATTATATTTATTATATCCTGAAATCAAACCAATATAATACTAAAAATTTCTTTGTATGCCATTTACCTGAACTTGAGTGAATACACCAAGATATATGAAGGAGATAATATATTTTGAAGAATATATTTCAAAACAGAATTAGGGAAATGATATTTATTAAATTCTGAAATCAAATCAATATAATACTAAAACTCTCCTTGTACGCTATTTACCTGAACTTGAGTGAATACACCAAGATATATGAAGGAGAGAATATGTTTTGAAGAATATATTTCAAAACAGAATTAGGGAAATGATATTTATCAAATCCTGAAATCAAACCAATATAATATTAAAAATTTCTTCGTACGCCATTTGCCAGAACTTGAGTAAATACACCAAGATATATGAAGGAGAGAATATGAGCGAAGGGGAGAATATATTTTGAAGAATATATTTCAAAATAGAATTAAGGAAATGATATTTATTAAATCCTGAAATCAAACCAATATTGAGTTTTGAATTCCTAATTGCATGTAATAGAAAGAATTTGGAGTTTTAACTGTAAGTAACAGAACCATGTACTTAAAACAAAAGATAGCAATTGAAGCAAAAATAGACTTATAGATTATAAAATTTTAATCAAAAAATATCAGCATTAGCTATGAAATTCAATAATGATGTATGATAATTACTTTAACACGAATTATAAAAATTATTTTGCCAGTAAATTTTTATTGAATTGTAAGTTTTTCTGAATAAAAAAATATACTTAAAATTTCTTTACAGACTGCCTAAAATTCAAATTAACTTTAAAAACTGAATATTTGGAAAATTATTTTTACAAATTTCGATTTAATGAGTGATTTAAAATGGTACCTAAAGCTGTTAAATGCTCCACAAAAACATACGGTACGTCAATTTTGATAACATAACTATTTCTAAATTAGAATTTTTCGAACTTTTAATCTAAATCTTATAAAATTTGAAGTTTTTAAATATTGAAGTTCTATCAACGCAGGATTCAAAAAAGTTTTTCGCAAATTTATAGCAAATATTTTAAAATTGTACTATATTTTAAATATTAAAGAATGTAAATTTAAATCAAAGTATTTTTTCACTGTCACTGATTAAAGTGGCAAAAAAGTATTTTTTAGAATCAAAAATAAAAATGGAGATTTTAAAGAATAGTTATCTAAACATTTATTTTTGATAATTCTAGGACCTTTGAAAATTTTACCTATTAAAATTTTCATGAATTTGTGTATTTTAAAGAATATTTGAAATAAAATATGTATGTATATTTTTAAAATATCAAAAATTTAAAATTTTTAAAAGACAATCATATCACAATCTAACATATTTTAATTTGCATTTTCTAGAATTCCATATCGTGTAAATGAATGAGATATAATTAAGTTACATTATATTACATTGGGTATTTATTTACCCCTTGATCTTATTTTTGTCTTTTCTCCATATTAAATCAATAAAATGTTAAATAAAAGACATTCATTAAAACATAAAATAATTGCTGTGTAACAAATCTTTACTTTGTTCTTTCTTAGTAAAATTATTAAAGAAATAACTCACAAGATGTCCTGAAAATGACCGACGATTTGAAAAATAAATCAACGAAAATTTGAAATACATACATACGTACAGGTTTTTTTTACGCTTAAGAAACCAAAAAATTTAATCTCACTAAATTCCAAAATTAGTTCCAAAGTTTATCAACAGATGGCGCAAGTAATCGGAAAAATTTATGATCTAGTAGTAGCAATAAAATAGTGCCAAACTAAAGACAAGTTTAACAAAAGCAATTTCAAAAATTCATTTGTAATGATCTGTCATTTAGTAAAAACATAATTTTATAGTTTTTCAGATGTAAGCTTATATTTTATTCAGAGGAATAAAAATTTTGCATCCAATTTTAGAACTAGGTGAGAAGGAATCAGCTAAACTTTCTGAACAGAAAAATTAAACCTACATTATTTTTTTTTAAATTTATTTTTCAAAGCGTCTATCCTCTTTTAGACTTTCTGTCAGTTAAGTGTAAAAATCTCTCATTAATCAGAACTCATGCCCATCTAAATGGGAAGATGGACCCCTTTTATAGTAACCTACTAATATCATAACAAAAGAAAACATCTCTGACTGTAATGAATACAAAATTATGCATTATCAATTCTTAATCTAAAGTCTTTTTTTTAATGATTCGTTCTTCCATAAAAATGTATGAATTATTTTGCACAGAAATTATTTAGAGGCTTGTAATTTCTAAAAGTATTCTAATGTTAAGTTTTGGGTACTAGAATAATTGGCAAAACGCAAAGTACTCCGTAATAATCGTCCTTAGTATATGTATTTAAAATCACAGTCAAAAATGGATTCAAGAAAGAATAGATATACTATAAAGATCGCAAATTAATAATTAACCCAAATAAAAAATATCAAAATTTAACGAAACACAACTGATGTAGATGAGACTTAAAACTTCAAAACCCGTTTGGTTGAATGAGGAAGCAGATGGGAGTTGAAAAGTGATGATTGGAAACACCTCCAAAAATCATCGGGTGATCAAATGGGTTTTTAAGATTGATATTCCGTTCTTCATTAGTGATTTGACTGATTTTGAATACATTTTTGACGATGATTTTAAAAATATTTATTGAAAGCTGCAGTAACGAAAAACCTTGTATAAGCATAATATGCAGTTTTATATTAACGTATTTCAGTTTACAAGGATAATCATTATCTATATCTATAGGGGAGAGTCAGGTAGCCCCGCCCAGCGGGTACTCCCGCCCACAGTCAATTTCATATGTATAGAATATTTTTTCAAGTCAATAAACCATCGGACATTAATAGTTATATTAAAAAAAGATTATTTTTAAAGTTTCAAGTATTTATGCAGCTGTTAACATGGTAAACAATAGTTTTGAAAATATGTTGAATACAGTAGTCATGAAATTAAGAAAAATTGGTTGGATGTTTCGATTAAACTTCATTTTAATACAATTTTTTCTATACATACAGCATTAAAGTATGTAGTCTTTAGTTTTATTTGCACGAAGAAAGAAGTTTATATGTGAAAAATTTTTCGAGTAATTACAAATTTACAAAAAAGAATTGGATTTCGGGTAGCCCCGCTCACATGAATGTCGGGTATCACCGCGTAATTTTATTTCGTCGATAAATGTACGGTTGCAAAGATTATTATTTTATTGCTTCAAATTTGAATGTTACATGCATTTTAACAACAAATATTGTTGTTATGAAATGATAGAATTCACTAAAAATATATAAATATGTAATAAATAAAATAATTTTGTGATAAAAATGATAAATGAGGTTTATCTACTGTCAATTCCATTGGTCACTTTCACTTACACCTGAAAAACAGTCAAAAAACATAATTTTTGCAACTGGGC